TCTTTCTTTCTCTCTCTCTCTCTCCTTCTATCTGTTCCTCTCTCTCCCCTCCCCCTCCCTCCATCCATCCCTCTCTCTTTCCATATCACTCCCCTCTCCCATTCTCTTCTATCTCTCTCTCTGCCTGTAATATATGTCCCACCTCACTCCCTCCATCCATCCATCCCTATCTCTGTCCATATCACTCCCCTCTCCCTCTCTCTCCTCGCTCTGTCTCTCTCTGTCTCTCTGTCTCCCCTCCCTTAATCCATCGCTCTCTCTTTCTAAATCCACCCCTCTCCCTCCCCTCTCTGTCTGTCTGTCTCCCCTCCCTCCCTCCATCCCTTTCTCTTTCCCTAACCCTCCCCTCTTTCGTTCCCCTCTCTCTCTACACACACACACACTCTCTCTCTCTCTCTCTCTCTCTCTCTCTCTCTCTCTCTCTCCCTCCCTCCCTCCTCCCTCTCTCTCTCCCTCCCTCCCTCCTCCCTCTCTCTCTCCCTCCCTCCCTCCTCCCTCTCTCTCTCCCCTCTCTCTCTCTCCCTCTCTCTCTCTCTCTCCCTCCCTCCCTCTCTCTCTCCCCCCCTCTCTCTCTCCCTCTCTCTCTCTATTTCTCACACACATACATACGCACATACCTTGACGTTTGAAAATCGAGATTTCTATTTTGACAAAGACAACATTTGGAAAGAGTTATATAAACACAACATAATCAATTCTTTGGATGTATTGTCATGTTTTTTATGACCATGCCTTTGAATTGGAAATTTTTATATCTGCTTAGAAGCCGTCTGCCGTTTTGAAAATAGTGGGGCTTCAAGAAAGACATCGATATACTCCACCTCGATTTTAAAGCGGCTTCATGAATACATTATAACCACTGTCTAACTCTTATATTCTGCCAGGTGTACCGGTATTTAGTCGTGCCCTATAGGCGCCACTGAAGGCATCATCGGTATCAACCTCTCTAGGCTTGCCTCTGCAGGAGAAAGACGACTTCGTTCTCATGCCATCTTTGTGCGCCTTGGAATTCATTCTCGAAGACATGATGTAAGAGACGATGTAACTCTCCCATTGTCACATATTTCCAACGGGGAAAATGTTTTTAAAATAGGCCCACCAAATCTAAAATAAAAGATTTGATGAACTCTACTTTTTCTTGAAGCAACTCAATTTGATATAATACAACTGGGTATTTCAACTTGCTATGGTAATTTTTGTTTACTGAAGATGTATTTCTGATTGGTAATGTAAGTTCAAAATTATTTCTTCTTTAGAATAGAGTAGAATAGAATTTATTGACGCTTACGACCCCTTCTGTCTCTTCATTCTACCATATTCTCCTTCTGCATCAGCAACAGCTCCAGCGCCAGCTACGACGTAGGTCTGAAGAAGCTTGTACGTAACACGGCAAGCAGAACCCTAAACCATGAAAAACAAGTAATTTTTACTGATTGTGAAGAAAGAACTGTTCTATTGATAATATCCGATGTTGTTGATATTATTATTATTTTGTGGAAACACTAGCGCTCCGATTTTATTTTATTTTTAGTTGGGTCAGTTTGTGTCGTTTACTTATGCGTGGTCAGAGCAATTAAGTGCATCCTATTTTTGAGGGCGGGTGAAAATCATGATTTGTTTGCATGCAGCCATGCAGATGGTAACAAAAAGATTGGGATGATGTCATAAGCTATAATTACATGATGATTTAATTTTTTATATCAATAATTACATGATGAGATAACCATAACTAATGTGTATGATTATCCCAACCAATAAGTTCTGTATCAAAACGTTGACGAGTTTGTTTGTTTGTTAGCTTGTTGTTAACGCTCATTGTGAATTCCATATCCTAAGATTTCAGATATCAACCACAGCGAATTACATTTTTCTCTTCGACATAGGCATGTAGTTTAGCCGAAGACACTTTGCATCGACGTCGGGGGCATGTAGGCGAGATCGTCACCACACAGAGGATCGGTATGTGAGTCATGTTTATACCCATGTACCTTTACGATGTACATACGTTTGAAATATGTATTTGATAATGCTGGTAATTTCACAACCGTTGTGTCCGGATTTACCTCTGTCGAAGTATGTAATAAAATGTTATATGTTAGAAAATATAAACATCATATGTTAGAAATATGTAGTTTTGAGTCTATTTCACAAGCGTTGTTTAGACAGCGCGTCCACCACTTTCACAACCATAAAATGTAAACAGTGTCCACATTGCTTCAAATTGCGTTTTGCAATACAATATAAAAGGGACTGAAAATAAAATGAAGAGCGGGGTTTCTAAAAAAGTGTTCATATACCGTAAGTCATATTTAGATGCAGCTCCCATTCTCCTATCTCTTTTTCTTGTTTTCTTTTCTCTCTTTTCTTTGTATTCATCTTTCTTACGATATATCTCATTATTCTTTATTTCTTTCATTCTTTCCCGGTTTCCCCTCTTTACAGCTTTATGTAAAGGTTATAAAGAATATTGTAAGTTTACTTGAGCATTTTCTGATTTTGCAGCCATTAAGCTATACTTGTATGTTGTATCTACCCCTTCTATTTCTCTCTCTCTTCTCTCCTTCTTACTTCTTTCTCTTTTCCTCTTGTATATTTATTCCCACCTTCTTCAGTGTTTCCTATCATGCATCATTGAGTCATATGAAGGCATCAAATGCTCTCAACATTTTACTCCGTGACTTTAGCTGATTATTATATTCTTGCTTCTATTTTTCAATGTAAAGTGAATGTTTATTGCTGTTGAATGTGTTTATATACATTTTACCAGTCCTTTCAATGTTGAATTGTAACATTAAAGACTTAAATTACCTCTAAGGCAATGCATGCATAGCCTTATGTATGCTTATAAATTATACACGATGATAAAAAAAAAACGTACAACGCTCCGAGCTACATCGTAACGAACAAAATATCAACAGCAGTATGATGTTGTTGAGTTTCTTTTGTGGTAGAAAATATTTGATCGTCGCAATCTAGTGGGAAACATGCACACATGTCGTTTCCTGGTAATGAATGGTTATCAATGCTGATTTTTATCTCTTGGATTTTATGAATGAATTTGGCCTCGAAGTGGAGAAACCTACTTGTAATAATTTCTTTTGTTCACATGCTGTACGTTGGTCACAAATTATTGTACTGTAACCCCCGAATGCGTATTTATTGTGATAGGAGCATTTTAGCAGGTTTTCCCCGATTTCAATGACTCATAATAATAATCACCACAGAGAAAAGGATTATGTAGGACGCAGGAATGACCCCTCTTCTTTCAGTAAATATTCACGTAGGCTAGTATAGGTCAAATAGTACTGACCTCCCTCTTTCCCATTACCCCCCCCCCCCCCAACCCTTCTCTCCCTCTTTCTCTCATTGCTCTCCTTTTCTCTCTTCCTTCCTTTACTCACATCCCCCACCCCTCCTCTCTCTCTCTCTCTCTCTCTGCCCTTTCTTTCCCTCTCTCACCTCTCTGTCTCTTTCCAGATTCCAGTGCATGGATAGTCTGGATTTACCATTTCTACATACAAAACTGAGTAGTTTGTTTAACTGTATTTACTGCAAAATCCCCCTCTTTATCTTTCAATTTTTCTTCACCTTTTGTCTCCAATACTCTTCTTAATTTCTACTCTTTCCATCCTTCATAACAAGAAGCTTCAAAAATGTTTTCTTTCCTTTCTTACCGGTTCCTAGTTCAATCTCAATGTGTGCGCATCTCTACACAATATGTGTCTCTCTCTCCCCCTCCTCCTCCTCTCTCTCTCTCTCTCTCTCTCTCTCTCATTCACAATGCAATGCACCGCTTACACTTTTCTAATTCTCTCTCCTCTAATGATTAGTTTTCAATTCATAACCAAATTCTTTATTGCTCAAGTTCATGGATTTGGTGAAAATACATACATTTTTTTTTTTTTTTTTTTTTTTGGGGGGGGGGGGGTTCTAATCATTTTTCACTTCCCTCACTTCAATCTTCATCCTCCCGGTAGAAATCAAAATTATTAACATTTCTGTTAGATGAACGTTGACAAAATCAAATACTTTAATATTCTCTCAAATGCAACAGATTTACAGATAAATAAATTTATCAAGCATACACATTTACATATAAAACACATATTTACAATCCATTGCAATATCCTATAAATATTAAAATCATAATATCAAGATTTACAAGCTCAAATATATATACAGAATAAAATCTCATCAAGAAAACAACATCCTAACAAATTTTCATACCAAAATACGTCTATGAGGCTACAAATGATAATCAGTGAAAAAAATCAAAGATTAAAGATTAAAGATTAAGGTATGAGTGAAAGATTGTATTATCATCGAAAGCACAGATATTTTTGAAGGAATGTCTGTTTGTAAAAGGCACAAATGAGTGGACGGATACAATATTAAAGTTTGGCAGCTCACAGTTTTTAACTCGATCTGTCCAGCTGCTTGAAGTAACGTTTCACTCTTCATCTTTTTTTTTATCCCTTCTCCCTAACATCATGAACAGTCATGAAACTGAGAAAATAGATGCCTGAAATTTGAAGATGTAGGATATGTCTCCCTAAAACTTCAATATAATCTTAATGTTATTATCTACTTGATAAACTATATAACTCCCTGAAGTGAATCATGCAATATATTCCTTTCCCGACATCATAACTGGACAACTTTCTTCTTTCCCTATGCATTATTCTCTTTTTCTTTTCTCTTTGGGACAATTCTTAATCATTGGGCAGGTAGGGACACATTCACAAATGTTTTCATTTGCTACCAAACTCTAGAAGGTACATGTACTAGTCAGTACCTGTTTCAATAGATAAAGTAACAACAACTCCCTTCTTTTTCTCTCTGGGCCTCTCTTGCCCAGCAGCAGAAAGGCACAGGTGCACAAGTATTGGTAAAGCCCCATTGTCCTACTGGTAGCTACTTGCTCCCTATGAATATCGGTAGAAAACAATGCCTAATCGCTGACCATTGGTCCCCCATTTTTTCTTATGTTAATTGAGAGCTAAGTTGATGAGATAATCACTTGTCCAGTGACCTTGCAGGATGGTCTAGTCCCTCCTATAAACTAGTACAGATGGTCTTCCATTCCCTTCCAATAAGAGCAAACAAAACAATCATTTCATTTCTTCTTTCAGGGATTTGGGCAGCGGACTGGTTTGAATTTTTTCCTCTCTTGCCCCCAAAACCATGGATAAATAGAAACCATTCATTTCAAAATCTAAAAATGAAGAGATCTATTTCTTCTTTCCCTTTGCGCTCTTCTTTCCAGGGCTCTTCTTTCCTTTAGGGCTCTTCTTGCCCTTGGGCGATGGGGTTCTCCTGGCCTGCTCTAGCTTCATGGCCGCCTCTGCAGATGCAATCTCCTCCAGTCGTTTCTTCTCAGCCTCCAAGAACTTCTGTCGGAAGGCCTCTCGGGGTTTGTTGATCTCCTCACGCCTTTCATCCAGATCGGTCTGCAAGAGTGAATGAGATGGATTTGTTTGCTACTTTTGTCACAAGAAGCGTCTTCTAGCAGTTACACTAAAATTTTGCTCTACCTTTAGAGTTATTTATAATACTTGTAGCAAGCTTTCACCCTCATTTTTTTACCATCATCTTCTGGAAAATTCTTCATATCAATACTACCACCATCATCACCATCACAATAACCACCACTGTAGTCATCATTCGAATTATTATCTTGAACATGAGAGAGGTCACCATCGACATCAGCTGTACAACCTATATCATCATAAGCATCAGCATCTTCAAGACCGTCATCAACAGCACTTCCGTCACTGTCATAATCTTCACCATTACCCCTACCATAACTACAATATCACCAACACCATTACCACATTAAAGCCCCACTGCACTACTTATAGCCACTTGCGCCCTCTATACAGTCAACAATGCCTAAGCGGTACCCGTTGATCCCCCATGTCGCCCTTTTTCTTATGTTAATTGAGAGCTGAATTGATGAGATAGCCACCTGCCTGTGACCTTGGAGGGAGGTCTAATCCCTCCATGCCTAACTAGTGCAGAGGGGCTTTAAATTAGATGACCTACCTGTAGGTCAATGCACTTCTTGAGCTGCTTCTCCTTGGTAAGGTTCCTTCTCTTACGGTCCTGCTCCCTCTCGTCCAGTACAGCCTCTCTGAAGAGGTTGTATTCCTTGATCTCTCTCTGCTTCACCTCAAACTGTCTCTCAACCTCCTCCTCATCCTTCAGCCTTGGCTCACCGGTGAAGTCTGCAGGTCTGGTGAAAGGAAACACATTCATGCGATACTGGTCAATCCTTCCTGTCCCTTATCGCAAATTTGCACCAACAGTATGCACAAAGCACTATAGCCATTGTGCAATCTAGAGAATCGTCTATTCTCAGTATTGAAAATAAATCATTAACTAAAGATAGAGTCGTCTGGATCCTAGCTGTGGCATGAATGTCATTTGGCATCCATGGGGACCACAAAAGATGCCAAGATAGTGTAAGTATTGCTGACAGACTTGAGATACATCATTCAATCATATCATTGCAATCTCACTCAGGATTACTTCATTAGGCCTATGAAAAATTACATGACTACCCTTTCTTGCTTCATTTCAAAGTCTGATGAAAATACATCTGATTAACATCAATACTTTATCATTTTCATTTCTTCACCATCGAAAATTCTTCAAATAAGAACTTGAATTGTGGACAATCTCAATTTCATACACAATATTCTAATGAACACTTGCTCATGTTTTAGCATGACATACCTGATGTAAGGAGTGTAATCCATGGTCTTGAGGATCTCTTTGGGAGGAGGTGGAGGCGGAGGTTCATGGGTAAGGATCGCATCATGGACTGGTGGCTCCATCTCAGATGCTGGTGTCTGGGGAGGACCAACTGATCAAAGAGCAAATAAGATGAGATGGAAATAAACAATTATGTTCTAAACAGGTGATTTAGAACAGCAGTGGTCGTGGGACCACAAGTAAGAAAACAATAGTAGTAACTTAGCTCAGCTAGGGCTTAGATAAAACATTTTAGTGACCCTTTGAATCTTTCGACTGAGTTTTTTTTGTTTTACCCTGAGTTTAGGATAGTTGCTTGTTTTTGGCCGATGACTGTGGCACCTTGACAGTGAGTTCCATAATATCATGGTCATTTCAGTATAAGGAAATAATGGCAATTTTAGTGCTTTCAATGTGCCCCAACTTGAAGTAGCCGAGGCTGAGAACACAAACCAACCATTGTACATAATTTCAAAATGGTAGGTATTTTGGCCTATTTGGCCTATTAAAGTAATGATCTTAGATATTCAACCTAATATCTGTTTGATCCACTAAATATATTAATGGCCTGTTACATAATTGTACACATATCCAGAATAACAAAGTACAACTGGAGGGCGTTTCACAAAACTTGTCATCAGTGACAAATGACAGTTTGTGTTATAAGCTACTGAAATCCTTGCTTCTGATTGGTTGTTAACAGAGTTGTCATTGATTTTTGTCATTTGTCATTGAAAAAAGGCTCTGTGAAACGCCCCCCCCCCCCCCCCCCCCCCCCCCCTGGTCTATCAACGTACCTTCCGCTGCTTCTGCAGCAGCCTCTGCTTGCTCTGGCTGTACTGACGTCAGGTCTTCCTCAGGTTCCAGTTTGATGAGATGGTCTTTGAGGAACTTCTCCCTGGCAGCCAGTGCCTTGGCGGCCCTACCAGGATCGGCTGCTTCCCAGGCCTGCTTCATGGCACGGATCTCATCCTGGCGCTCCGTATCACGACGGATCTCAACCTCATCCTGGATAAAGAGATATTTATGGAGGGTTGGTAAAGTAGGTTCTTATTATATCTTGAGTAATTAATTCTCTCATGACCCCCAGCTTGGGATTGGGATCATTTGCTTTATAATAATAATATTGAGGTGAATTTTTAACACGCTTAATACTATGTTTCTAGGCGCCATGGCGCTGTTGTCCTAGCAGCCATTAGTAAAGTCATGTAATTCTACCCAATAGAGAGCTAATTTGTACAAAAATGTATTAATTCTTCAAAATTTGATGGGTTGTATGTCTGATTAGAATGCGCAGTCTATATAATCCTCAAACAGCATCCGTATTAAAAGCTTTAAAGTATGTGCTATTAGAATTGTAAGATAGGCTAGGATGTAGCTATTACACAATGGACCATTCTATTAAAGGTAATACAGAGTTTTGGTATGGGGTCATGAATTTGGTTCAAATAAACATATTGGAAGCATATGCGATCCTACAATATTCAGTGATCGTTGTCGCGGTTGAAATCGAGTCTAAAGTTATGAAATTGTAAGTAATACACTCTTTATGTTGTATAGCTCCCTCTCAAGGTCAAGATATTAATTAAGCTAAAAAACAATTGTTTCTTGACTAAAATCGACCGGTTAGCTATTCCCTTTGGAAACTATATATCACAACTACATATTCTGAGATTTTCATGGTCGCAGCTACCATTGTACGGCCGTAGGCGCTATTTGAAATTTTATCAGAATTTGTCAATTCAATTTTTCTCGAAAGCGGAAGTATTTTATGGACTAAATTTTCTAGTGCTTATAATACATCCACAGGGGAATTCAAATATAACAAAATAGTAAAGAATCACTATCCACCCAATTTTCCAAATTTCCCAAAACTTTGTATTACCTTTAAGTATAGATTTGAGGATCGACGAGGGGATCCTACTATATCCGTTTTTCAAATGAGTGTTCAATTGAATAGTTTAGGCAAAGATCAAACACAGAAATTACATTATGACCAGGAATCGGTCTGTTTAGAATCGATGTGGAGTCGGTGTGACCTTGAGACTTTAATAGGTACAAGGTACCTTTGCCTACATACCAACCAACATCCCCTTGCCTAACTACCTAGACAAGCACTTCAACTTGACATAACACAAACTAGTCTAGTGACCCCAGCGGTTGCAGCCAACTCACCGTTGGTGTCTGGTCCAGGACCACCCTGAGGGTCCAGTTAGGCTTGGTGTTATCAAACTGCTGTGAGGATGGTCTAGATGCGTTGCCTTTGTCCTTGTCTTTATCCTTATCTTTGCCCTTGTCCTTGCCTTTCTTACCCCGGTCCTTGGCCGCTGCCTTGGCATCACCCTTACCTGGGGATAGGGGGCGCTCTTTGTTCGCTGTTTATAAGAAACATTGGAAATAAGGATAAGTTGTTAATTATACATACACAAAGCCTCGCCAGACTACCACTGTCATACTTTGAGGTCCACACATTATTTTGTAGTGTATGTAGCTATATCACTTCAAATTGTGTATGAAAATATACGAAACTTTACTAGTGGATGATCACATCATTTGCATTTGAAAACAGAAGGAACAAAAAGAGAAAAAAATATTTAAAGTCTATGTTGGTATATTCAATTCTACAAAACTAAAAATTGAAAGATCTAGGACAATTATAGTCGACTATATTCTTTCTCTCACATAGGGTGTGAGAGTTCATAGATTTTAATATATACAATATATGAGACCATTAAACTAGAAATTAACTGGATTAACATTATAAAAAAAGACAGAAAACCAACTTTGAATATTTTTTTCTAGTACTCACGAATCTAGACAAAGTCACAGCATAACTATGATACATGTGTAACAGAAATGGGCATATATATATATATATATATATATATGTATTGCAGGAGCAATTAAAAATATATACATGAAACCTGTTTAAAAACATTACAGATATGCAAAGTTAGCTTTAAACTGATTTTGAGGGAGAAATAAGGTTACACAATACAAATATATGAAACAAACATACATGTATATATATTTTTATATCCTGCATCAAAAATTTGTTGGCTTTTAATTGGTTGAGAAGCTCGTCACATGACCAGAAATATTTGACCTATTTTTAGAAAGTACTATATGAGAGTACTATTTTGGTTTACTATTTGGGAGTTGAAAAAAAATGTGATTTTTTTTTTTTTTTTTTTTTTAATTGAATAAATTTTTTTTGGTCAAATCTTAATTTTTTTTTTTTTTTTTTTTTTTTTTAAATAAATTTTTGATGCAGGATATAAAAAAAATATACCATGCCTTCTTTTCGAGGCACTGGTTAAACTATGGGCCTCGGTGACTCCAAAAGTCCTATTTGCTTCGGGACTGCCCCCCTCAGCAAATAGTACTATTGGAGTCACCTCTTGCGCATAGTTTTAACCAGAACCTCTCAAGGCAGTGTATATTTGTATAATAAATATATGTAGATGCATGATATACTATTCATATGCATGAAACAACTAAGATTGGAAACTTAAAAATCAATATCAAAGATCTATGAACATGGATGATTTTGTACACTAGTCATTCTTGTACATTCTTTGCGAATTAATACCCTCTTTTAAATCTCAACACTGCAGCACAATCACATGTGAAAGTATACCCTTTTATCCATGCATTTCTCAAAGTTTTCCATCTGTAAAAATGTGTGTGTATGTAGTTCCATTAATTCACTGAAAAAGTTGAGAGATATTTGCATCCCCATTTCCAATACAAAGGGTTATATTGCACAAAATCATCCATATTCATATAGTTCAACTAAAAGTAAATGAACATTATGTTTATGCGATTAAAACTTGAAGCAAAGTGATCATCATACTGTGCTTTTTAAGTATGAGGAAACTATTACTTGTAAAAAAAAAAATTTAAGTAGCATCTTTTGAATGATAAAATGGCTTCATGCATTATTGAATTTCAAACAGAAGCTAATTGAGAAGATATAAATATTCAAAGAACAAGCAGTTTTTCAATCGAAATAATAGACATTTGCCTTTTTTTGGGGGGGGGGGGATTTACATCAATGCCTAGCTAAAGTTATCAATTAATTTACATTAATCTCAGACACATCACTGATTTCACTTTGCTTCAAATTTTTAGTATACTTCATGGGATGAAAAACATTTAATTCATAATGAATTACTATGCTAGAGGGCACTCTGTCAAATCTAAATTCTATGTTGTCAAATGCACACTATATAGACAATGCTAAATTTTCAGTTATTAAATACATTTTAAATGATAACTAACATGAATATTATCAGATCGACACTTACAAGGCAGCTGTACAAGCACATCAAATAATGTACTACAACTGCATGGCTTATCGATCATTCATCTAGGATAAACATTCTAAATACACACAAAACTACAATGTTTTCTAATTCATTATTCTATCTGTAAATTTCTACAGTTCCAAGTGAAGTTACAGATGTAAATATATATGGTTCTATTCTGAGATGAAATGAGGGTGTGATAAGTAATGAAGTGCAGTATTAAAAGACTATTTATAAGATATTAAATCAAATTGTTTTCCATTAAAGAACCATTTTGGAGCCTGAATAGCCCCAAATCCATGAAGGTGTCATCAGCCGCCCACCCCTGCCCCTCCCCTGCATCACATAACAGAGAAATGGAACAGGTAGAGTAGTCAAGCCCTCTGTGATCATGAGCAAAGTCATGATAAGAAAAATAAATCATTCAACTATGCAAACAATTTCAAGGTACATGTATCTTCTTTTTTTTTTTTTACAGCTTATCATCAGAATTTGAGTTTGGCTAGAAAGATTTGAAGAAATTTCTGAATTTGCATCACAATCTAGCATTTCAATGCTTGAATAAGTGATTTTTTTATTAAAAGATCATTTAAAAAAACTAGATGTGATATGAAATGTTGATAGAATGAGGTGTATACATCGATCCGATATGATGGGATGGTCATGTATTATGCGGTTTAATTATGCCATTATTGAATGAATGGATACTATATTATTGAATTATTAAAGGGAAAGTTACTCAATAGCAAGATCATCTGAACAAGTCTAGTAAGTTAAAAAAATAATCTTTGGTAATTTGGGTAGTTACAAAAATTGCATTTAATGGGAATTGCAAATTGGAAATTACTACAAAGCCAATTGGGGCAATTATATGCCTCAATGCTTCATTTATAACCCAACATGAATTTCTTTTCACTTTAACTTTTCCCTTTTCAGAAATAAATATCATTTCTGTTTGCTGTTCTTAAATCTTATATCTTCCTATTGAACTGCATTTTATTGTCTTTTTAGTATATTTTGGTTCATATATGATCTTTTGTTCTAAAAGCAACTTGCTATAGAGTAAACTTTCCCTTTAAACGATGAATATCTATGCTACAACTGTATTGATTAGCTGCAGGTGAATTAATGATGTGGGGGATTAAAATTTTTGCCTTTTTTTCTCTCTTGCGAATCTTCTCTATCCCCTTTCGAATCGGATGATGTGCTCTCCACTCGGGCCACCCTTCTCGCTGCTAGTAGTAAAGTTGATATAGAGACCATTTAATAAAACATTGTGCAATATACCTGTACATCTATTAACAATTAAGTAAGTGGAGAATATAGTATATAATATGTGCAACCGTGGAATTGCGATTAAGAAGGGTACACATATGCCCATGACTACGAAAGAGTGCAAGAAGACTTATGGAATGGTGCAAATCGGTAGAGGAGTTGAATAGAGTATCTTGGAAATACTAAAAATGCTTGAAACTTCAACACGTTATCAGACTAGGATGCCTTTTTTTTAAGAGTTGCAAATGATCTGAATTTATTGCTACTCAACTTGAGTTTGATACCAAGTGAAACTTATAACATAAGTAATAGGCATACATATCTTTGCAACTCAGTGAAAGACTTTCCCATGATTTGGATTAGTTTGGACTTCAGGACTTAATTCTGATTAATTCTGATCAATTGCAACTCCTATTTCATCAGGGCTTTGATGTGATGTACGACTATTAGTCCTACTAAATAAACAGGGATCAATCTTCACCTTCTTCTTTTGTCACTTCAATGGCAGCAATAATTACAACAAATTTTCAAAAAATTATCTTTGGTCTCTTGGGTACATATTTGTGATTTAACAGAGGTAAATGATAAAATGCATATTGAATCGAACCAATTGGGATAAATCATAACTTGCTTTCATCTTTTTAAATCAAATTTTTGTGTTAATTCATCGATTATTGAATTCTCTTTTTGCTATATCACTTTACTACAGGAACCACCCAGTCTTAGTACGCAATATATTGAATTGTGTAAAAGTATAACAATATTTTAACAACTGACGGGGCTACCCTGTTGGAGTAATACCAAATAGATAAATAGATGAATAAATATATACATAAATAAATATATAAATAAACAAATAATTTGCTACATTTCATACAAGGGCTCCTGTTATAATGATGGAATACATTTCCATTGATAAAATATGTAGAGAGGCACTTATGGTGGGAAATATTCCCATAGATGTACATGTACCTTCAATTATTATTCTTTTTATCTGATTCCTTCCAATTTTCATAATTTTGAATTAATTTCTAGAAACTTAATGGCTCCAATCCAGGTGTAGACATGTACAGTATATGAGTTTTATCAAATCTAATTACTGGTAAACAGGGGTATACACAACATTCTGAAATGAAGGTGATATAAACTGTGCATGTACCTCAATGGCAACTGTAAGGCATGAGGCTCTCAATGTGATAAAGAAGAATACAAATGATACCCATGAACCGTCTTGGAATAAAAAAGGAAAACAATAAAGATCCCAAAATGATAGAGGGGATACCGAGTCCAAGAAAACACAGCTAGAATGGTGGATCATAATTAAACAAAAAATATTCTAAAAAGTCTCTTCAAGAGTTTTAAACAAATGTACGCTTTACTATTCCATATTTGTTTGCATGCCGGCAAAAGGATGACACTTTCTTTAACTCACCAATGCTAAAAAGAAATCAAAAGCACACAGAGCCGAGAACTACAAAAGATAAGTTCAACCCATCTACAGCCCTCTAGTGCTGCTACATATCTACAATGTATGCATCAGAGTGCTTTCACACTAACCATTCTACGCCACCAATTGAGCTGACTATGTCATACATTGAAAGCATACTAGACTATCAATAGAGGTGTGTTCACACTAATGGGTAGCCAAATGAAAGTACATGACCTGTAAGCACCGTGTCTATGTAATACTGAAAGGTGAGAATACTGCAGCTGAAAGTTTACAGTTTTGTTAACCTTCTAATACTACAAGAGACCACATCAGAAGTATGCACTGTCAAATGTAAACACTTTGCCTAGACATAAAACAAGAGTCCATATGATGGAGGGTTTTTTTCCTTCACTTTTGAAAATAGATTTTCATATTTTGTGGATAAATGGTATTATCTGAACTTATGACAAATTGCTCATATTATTTTTATGATTCATATTTAAAATACCATAATATTCATTATATTTGACTGAATCCTTTCACACAAGATACAAAACTTGAATAATGAAGATAATATTTCTGAAAATGGGATGAATGTATATACTACAAGGCATGAAATCAGGGTGAAAAGATCAAATTCAACACCCATTTGGCCTTCAGAAAATGATGTTATGATTTTGAAACCTGAAGTAGAGAAATCTTTTGAATCCATGACATACATGTAGTATTACATTATGATTGTATCATGCAGTATTCTCACCCATTTACAATACATGTTGAGATACAGAATACATGTTGCAAGAGAGATATATGCGAGTACACGTACCATGTTAGTATATATGCAAAGCTCTGGATAAAATAATACATGGATAAGCTGGGTGACGAAAATCGTAAAAAAAGGATATCAAAATATTTGCCTCTTCTGGGACGCGATGGAGATTCCATTTTGTCTTCGTCGAAATCATCCGGTATTTTGTACTCAAGAACGACGGCCGTGGGATGGAAGGAATCGTTTTGCTCCACTAAAGGTATCGTGTGCAAGATACGGTTTGAAACACGGAGACTTAGTGTTTGAATTAAAGTGGTAAGTTGGTTCGACTCATTGTGTTGAGTGCAAACATTGTGCTTTTTGGTTATTATGAACATGACCTGGGAGGATAACAGCCAATAAAAGAGTCATACATACAAAGAAGTTCTATTGAAAAAAAGAAAAAAAAAGCAGGAATAGTATCGTGAAACTTTTTCTGAGTACTAATACTCTGAAACACTCATACAACTAACACTTGGACTTAACAATGACTGAATTTAGATCTGGACATAAGCTATATTATCATGAAGGGGGAAAGAAAGTAAACATGGACTGGAACATTATCTGTAAGAAGGACCAAAGCAATGATGTATATAATAAATTGCTCTATATACAAATTTTGGGATGGGGAAAAGGCTCTTACTAATCCTACAAGAATAATATACACATAAAGAAAAAAAAAAAGGGGGGGGGATAAGAATCTCCCATTGATTAAAACTATTACCTGTTGGCAGTAATGAACTATCAGTCCAAACTTGACGGGAAGCAAGATAATTAGAGTGATGGCATCAAAAACAAACTCCTGGAAATCAAATGTACTCCTTGCACCAAGGAACCGTTCTTATCACAGTGAAATAAGTTTTTTTTCCACACTATTCCTTCAATATGTACCAATAACTGCAGTCCGAAACACTCGCTTCGTATAAAGTACATGTTTCACAAAAGTGTAAAATAATAACTGTAGATCAATATATTCTATATCATTTTTGAGGTTACCAATAATATTGAACATACCGGTACATGAAACTGCCCCAAATAAAAAAGTTAAAGACCCCACGACATAACACAGGACAATCAAAATGTGAATCAAAAGATATATCATATATTAGGAATATTTTATATTAGAAATAGTAGATTTTAAAGCCTAGTTCAACTCAAAATGTAATACCATTAAATGTGTTCCCTGCTTTCCAAAGATGCACTGTTTGTGTCTGAAATAGTGTAAAACAGCACTGGACGATAAGTGTGTTGGAATAGAATTTTCACACCATACAACCCTTACAAAATCAAATTGCTGTAGAGATTATACAGTCACTGTATTGCATTCGGTGGTGAAGTAACTTAGTGAAATTATTGTGACAGAGCAGGCAAAAGAACCAGATTCAGTATGAAAATTCTCCTACTAATGATTTTGTGTTCATACTAATGATCAATAAAACATATAAATTTATTATTTAAAAAAATAATAATAATAATAATTTTTTTTTTTTAATTATTCAAGTTGGCCACCATCCCCCATTTTTTATTATTATTATTACCTCCAGCTTTAGCTGAGTTATAATCCAACGCTCAATTTTGTCGTAAACTGAACTATAAACAATAAATGCAAGATCGTAGGCATTTAGTGCCAGATTGGACCTTTCACTTCTATCATTCTGAGGTGCACCAAACTTCACAACAGAAAGGGGTATAAAATACAGATTATCTTTGCATATAATTTGAGACTTACATTTTTAATTCTTATTGGTAAACCAAACTTCATGGCTGAAAGTGCTGTGAATTCAATTTACACACGTGTTTCCCAAGTGGCCTATCACAGCATTAAGCATCCCTGTGATTCTTAACTGGATGTAATGTGGTTGTTTCATCATTTATAGTGCGGTGTAAACTCAAACACCAAAGAGGTGGGAAATATAGAATTGATTGATATAATCAAAGGAAAGGCAGTTACACCATTTTTTGATCATATTTTGTGCGGTGTGAACTAAAACCCCCATCACCCTACAAGACTGGCAAATCCCCAACTGATTCGTTATGACCAGGACTGTGACATTTGTCTTACTTGGTGAACTTGTAGTGGTTGGACTCCTTGGATTCTCGCTTTTGGGAATATCTTTTGAGAAAATGTGTTTTAAATATTAGATTGATAGTATCGTAAGATGAAAACTTATCAAGACCCATCCTGCCCTAAAGGTATGCCATGTTTTGGCAGCCATCTTAGACCAATTTCGGGAGTTTTATTTGAGTGTTTTAAGGAGTGTGACATATCACAATTTTTTTAGTAAGTCTGGAATGGCACCTTAAGCTTTAGTTTGATTTGATTTAATTTGATTTGAGTTTGCCTTTTAACATAGTGCCAGAAACTCTTAACATTGACTTTAACTTCATAAGCAGTCCTTGAAGATTCAGAAATCTTGGCTCAATTTTGGGAGTTTAATTTGAGTATTTTAAGGAGTGTGACCGATCATAATAAGAAAATGATTGTGATATACTCAGCATAGCTTTCATAATGAAAAGGACGAACTTAAGTTTGGTCATAGAAGACAACTATCTTACACTTACTTAAATGCATCTTATTACATATCAATTGCTGTACTATCTAGATTTCACACCAAATCTGGTGCACTTGTCTGCCCAGTCACAATAATATTTAACCCTAAAGCATCAAAAGAGTTCACTCATTGACTTTTGACCATGCGTAATACAGGAATGAACCCGGTTTCCGTAGACAATGATTAGCTTGCCTAGATTAGTAGTATTGAATGATTGCCACACAAATGATTTTTTTTGAAAAACACCCAATATAAACCACCAACAATTAGTACCAGGATACTAGGGAATTTGGATGAATTAATGTTTTTAGGTTAAGGTGGCAGTTTCGGGAATGAGCTATTTCTCCATTCATTAACAAGCTGAAAATAGATTTCCCTTTTTATGCCTCCGCCACCGAAGGTGGTGCCGGAGGCATCATGTTTTCGGGTTGTCCGTCCGTACGTCCGTCCGTACGTCCGTCCGTACGTCCGTCCGTCCGTACGTCCGTCCGTCCGTCCCGTTTGACCGTTATCACAATATCTCAAGAACCATTTAAGATTTAAACTTAAGACTCGGGAATAGTATTTATCACCATAGGAAGACGATCTGATTAGATTTTGGAGTACGTAGGTCAAAGGTCACAGGTCACAGAGGTCAACTTATGAAATTCCTTGTATTGAGTTTGTTAGCGCGATATCTCAAGAACCATTTGAGATTTAAACTTCAAACTTAAGGATAGTATGTATCACCATAGGAAGACGATCTGATTAGATTTTGGAGCACGTATGTCAAAGGTCAAGGGTCACAGAGGTCAACTTATGAAATTCCATACATTGAGATTGTTATCATGATATCTCAAGAACCACTGGAGATTTAAACTTCAAACTTAGTGATAGTGTGTATCACTATAGGAAAACAATCTGATTACATTTTGGAGCACGTAGGTCAAAGGTCAAAGGTCACAGGGCTCATTATGTATGCAAAAACAGCTTGTGATCGCGTTATCTGAACAACCGATTGATGGATTCCTGCCAAACTTTGGTCATGTATGTATCTTGCAGAGCTGATGAACTGATTAGATTTTGGGGTCACGAGGTCAAAGGTCAAAGGTCACAGGGCTCATTATGTATGCAAAAACAGCTTGTGATCGCGTTATCTGAAGAACCGATTGATGGATTCCTGCCAAACTTTGGTCATGTATGTATCTTGCAAAGCCAATGACTGATTAGATTTTGGGGTCACGAGGTCAAAGGTCACAGCGCACATTATGTATGCAAAAACAGCTCGTGATCGCGTTATCTGAACAACCGATTGATGGATTCCTGCCAAACTTTGGTCATGTATGTTACTTGCAGAGCTGATGAACTGATTAGATTTTGGGGTCATGAGGTAAAGGTCAAGGTCATGTGGCTCATTATGTATGCAAAAATAGCTTGTGATCGTATTATCATTAGAACAGATTGATGGATTCCTGCCAAACTTAGATCATTTATGTATCTTGCAGAGCCAATGAATGGTTCATAAGATCAAAGGTCATGGGCTCATTATGTATGCAAAAATAGCTTGTGGACGCATTCTCATTAGAACTGACAGATGGATTACTATTTAACTCCGGAAATCTTGCAGAGCCAATGAACTGAGTAGATTTTAGGGTCATGAGGTCAAAGATCAAAGGGTCATATATGTTTATGAGAAATTGCTTGTATTCACAATATTCTGAGAACATGTTAATGGATTACAATTGAACTTGAATTTGACAAATTTCTTCCGTTTCGGTTTGTAAAATTGCTCTATGACGGAGGCATCATTTTCGACTGCGCGCAGTCGAATTCCATCTAGTTTTTTTTCTTTTTTCTTTTTTTTCTTTTTTTTTTTGGGGGGGGGGGGTAGGACAATGAAGCTGCAATGGCTTTTTGCTTCTTTACATATGGCCTAGGTATCTGCTTTTGTTCTTAATATGGCCTTTTACTACCGATGAGTGTGTTACCTTCACTTGCAGTTGTGGAGTAAGCATAAACTGCTGCAAAATTAAATATGGGTGGGTTGTACACTCGGTTCAGTGATAAATATGAGGATTAAAGATGTTAATGACACACACGGCAGAGATGTTTACCTTTAAGCTCGTTCTTCTCCAGTTCCTTCAAGACTTGTACGAAGGCCCAGCTGCTCTCCGACATGGGCCAACTCTTCCTCATCACTTTGGCTTGGATGATGTACTTATGGGGCTGTGAGAAAGAGGAGGAAACTGGATCAGTGAGGTAACAATACTCAATACTACTTCAACAAAGACACATAATAATAGTGGGTTCTTGTATATATAGCGCTCATGTCTCCCAAACTGGACACAACTGGCGCTCCACAATTACTACTCCGGCTTTAGCACGGCTGCCAATATGGCGCTCTGGCATTTCTAAAGGAATTAATTAATGCAAGGTACCGTACCCATTTACCTCAAAAAATGTTTTCATGAAAATAGAATAAATGTACATTATAATTTTAGAAAACATAAATTGTTTCTATTTGAAATTGTATTGTGGGACGAATTCTTAACCAAGAGCAAGCTTGTTGAATTTTAGGCATCTTTGATGAAAGGCCATTGATTCAAATTATTTGAGGAATAGCACCAGCCTCCCAAAAAAAGATGTTGTATTGCCCTTTTTTTAGATGCCAAAACATGGGTTGGACGGTCGGAATTTTTTTTTTTTTCCCTCCCTCTTTGGGCTGATATTTCTCAGGTTTGAATACTTTGTTATTTTTTTCTCTAATAAAAGGTAAAGAGCCGACTATACAAATTTAAGATTTTGGGGTCCGTCGCAAAGGGCAATACAACATTTTTTAGGCCCCATGGAGGTACCCTGCTTTTTTCAAAATTATAATCCTTTAACTCCTTCCAAATTTCAATTTTTAATTACAATTGAATTTGAATTTTAGGGCTCAATTTTAGCAGGTTACATGTTATTAGGATCTCAGACAGTTGGAAGTATACATGGATGACCATGCGTTAATATCTATTTGTAACTATATTATTCGGACTAAAATTATTAAGTCAAGTGAAAGGCTACAAAAGAGTACACAAGAAATAAACAAGAAGGACATGCAATGAAAACAAAAGTGATAATACAGACATATCAGACAGAGAGGATAGGCACAAATTCTAATCTAAATACAAAAGTTTTCCCCGATTCTGAAAGTGCTTTAATTACCTTCATTTCTTCTTCATTAAGGTCCCCTGAGGCTCTGCTTGCACGCTGTACAGGCAGAATAAATCAAAGATTAGATATAGATCTAGTTTACATGAAAGATACAACAGTCGTCTGTACTGACAAATAGAATATTGATAGGAGAGTGGACATTAGTTGGCAACATGTTTAGTCAATGCTAATCTGACACAAGGTCCTTTTATTTGTGACTGTTTCTTTGGATAAAGTTTGGTTCACAAAGGAAATGAAGACAAAAGACATATATTCTTGCTTTCAGTATGTCTAAATACAAAGAATAAGGTTTGTTAGCACTTTTACAGAAAAAACAACAACGTGCAAAATAGAGACACACTTCTGTTTTCTAGAATGTTGAAATATAGGACTAAACATTCAACTTTTAAGAGGTAAGTTGGAAAATGGAAATCTCGTCAACTAATACTGTACAAGATAAACAGTATACATTCTCACACACTTTTAGGTATGGATAGAATAGCTTAAACAACACTGCTGATCATTTGGCCTCTTTTGATAGACAGAAAGGTAATCTAAATGAATGAAAACAAACAAATTGTAATTGTTCACTACAGGTATGATTATGCCAAGTAATGCTAAAAATTAAGCTATGGTTAAAATTCTAATGTGAGCTATAGTTCAAATGCAAAAATTAAGATATACTGGAAGTCATTTCTAATCGATGACACTAAAGAGACATTAGAGAGTCTTAGAAAGAGATGTTTAGAATGGAGAGTTACTTACCGACCCTCTACCATCATGGCTACTAGCCGAGTGTGGTTTTCTCTTGCCAGACCCTATGCTGACTGTACTGCCATGGCCTCGAGCTCCTTTGGCAGCTGATCAAACAAAATATGACAAATTTCGGTTTTATTAGTGGTGTTAACAAACAAAGGCAACAAGATGTTCAATCAGTTCTCTGACATATTTTTTTAATTTTATTTATGGATACTAAGCTAATTTGAAATTAACCAATTCATTTCAAAAGAACATCATTTGAAGCTTCCTCTCAAAGACTTCTAGGACATTACTGATTTGTTCGTGTAAGCTCTGTGATCTTTACACAGGGTCCCACTTTCATAGCCTATTCATGATGCATTCCTTCATTCCCATACTCTCAAAAGTAAACATGAGCATCTTTACTTTAGTGTATTCATTAAACATTAAACTTTGTTCCATTTTACAAGATTCTTGTACATTATACCCTTCATCTACCGCATTCACAGTTGTTTCTCAGGACTACTAAGGATGATTATCCCCCACTTATCTTGCCAGAACATATATACCCAGGACAACTGCACCCAAGTACCCCCTATGTGGTTGTCCAACAGGTTTTGTGTGAAATATTTTGAAGGAGGTGGTTGTACAGGACTTGATAGTCCCGGGCCCCATTGCACAAAACTCACCATTGATGGTAACTTTACCATCAATGGTGAGTACCATGGAAACCTTGATTTGTATTAATAGCGATTGAGCCCTGTTACCATGGTAGTTGCCATTGATGGCAAAGCTAATATGATAGTGGTGTTAATTTTACCTGACAGCTAAGAAAGCAATAAATGCTTGTTAGTAAGCAACCAGAAGACCGACGGCTTCAGGTCTTCTCCGAGGGACCTGGTAATGAGGATTAATGCTTTACCAAAGGGCACTAGCGCATCGACATGGTTTCGAACCCGGGTCACCGGATAACGAGACCACTGCTCTACCGACTGAGCTATCGCGCTTCCCCCTACTACCAATGGTAAGTTTAATGCAACAAGGCCCTTTATCCAGATGTGGTTCCACAATGTTGCGGGAGAGGAACGGATTAAAAGAACTTACAGGAGCGTGAAGACCTCTTCTCGTCTTCCCCTGGCTCTCGATCCCTGAGGAAGGTGAAAGCTGGGATGACCGCATGACCCTTGCCTGATGTACTGGCCACAGACTCCTCATTGTCCAGTATGTCCAGACTGATGTAGACGTCCGACTTGGACGTACCAAACTGTATGCTGGATACATGGTCCTCCTGGGGCTTTACAACATACCTGTAACACATTTAAAAAAAAGAAAGATTTGGAATGGTATTAAATATAAAATGGATTTTTCTAACGTCATTGAATATTGTTTCGAACAAGTAAATGCTGATATGAATACTAAGTCAAAAAGTAAAAGAGTACATTTTTTTAGAGCACTTTCCATGTACAGATCATACTTGATTATGAATATTTCAGCAAAAAGTTTAGTAATCAAATTTGCTTATGTAAATATGTAGGTAATAGAGTTTGAACAAAAGAATATAGTTTTCGTTATTTAACAGTTTATACTTGAAAAGTATTTAAAATTGATGCTATTCTTCTTCTGAATAAATTGATCCTTCATGACTGAAGATTAGCACACAGCGGAGAGCAGTGCATGCAGTAATTCTATGATACAAACAGATTTCCACATCATAACCCTGAGAGTCCATCATCTATCCCAGCTGTGTTCCAAGCCGATTCTTTCAGCCAGTCAAACAATAATTTTCTCAATATGAAGAATTTAATTCCAAAAGGAACTAAATCCAATTTTGATCAAAATTGAGTTATTGATATCAGAACATTGTTTACTTCAGTACCCGTCTTTCAACAAAAGTATTTACCTAAATTTTGGGAGCAATTATGAAAAAATGCATCTTCTAATATCACTTTTCCATAGACGCCTGTACAAAATCTGGTTAAAAATGCGTTTTTCTCTCAAGTTACAAAAATGGATTTACCTCCTTTTGAAATTATACTCTTCATATATTTAAATGTCTTACCTCATAATGATGTTCTCCTTGTTAGGGATGTAATAGTCTCTTATCTCTTTCAGGAGGAAGCTGCTGTTGAGTCCGTCCCTAGCAGGCTGTGGGAGAGGACTAGATGAACCGATCAGACGCATCCTCCACTTCCCGCTGGCGAGTGGCAGGTCGCTGGTTCGAGCCTCAGCAAGGAAGGTGTAGCCTCTCTGAATTATTCAAGGTATGAAAGAAGATTTGTTTTAGAATTTTCTTTAAACAATGATGTAGATATCAGAATCAAAAGAGTTTCAGTCCTCCCCTCTTGACAGTCACTACTCCATAGTAGAGGTAAGATGTCTTACCTTTTTTTTCTTGTACTCAGTCAGAGCAACTCGCTGGAAGACTTTTGGCATCTATTCACCCGTATCATCCATAACCTTACCGTCACCTCACCACCATAATCACCATTACCTCAACAATCTCAACAACATCAGCATGCCTTGCGCATTGTAGAGGTGTTGTGGACGAATGGATAAGTCGCCGAACTGTGGATCATAAGGTCCGTGGTTCAAGTTCAAGCAGCACTAAGCAGCACTAATGTCCTTTGGCAAGACATTGATCTACATTTGCCACTCTCCACCCAGGTGTTAAATGGGTACCCAGTAGGGTGCGAAAGCTAATGTGGTTAGATTAGCAAGTGTGCGCATGTAAAAATGACGCCTGGCTGGAATGCTCCCCAGGGAGTGGAGAATGTGCATACATTGTGTGCGGGTAAGCCTGAATCCAATGACCGGGGTAATAATATACTTATCTGTAAAGCGCTTTGTGAGGGCCTCCGGTCCTGAAAAGCGCTATATAAGAACGAGCTATTATTATTATTATTATTAATATATACTCTCAAAGACGCTCTACTGTTGCAGAATCCTTACCCTGTTCTTCTTGTACTCGTATGGAGCCACTCTCTGGAAGGCCCTTGGAATCTCTTCACCCGTATCACTGTCCCCAACACTAAGTATACAACCATTACCATCTAACAGTAATCTCTATCACTAAACTTGCCCCCTGTTAATGTACATTCAAAATTCACCGCTACAGGATTTAAGTCCTTACCCTGTTCTTCTTGTACTCGTATGGAGCCACTCTCTGGAAGACCCTTGGAATCTCTTCACCCGTATCATTGTCCACCACCCTCAGCATACAGGTTGGGATGGAGCAGTAGAGCTTGGGTACAACCAGCATAGGCTCTTGGACAAACAGGACATCCCTGCAAGAACAAAGAAAAGAGAATAAAATCTTGTTCAAACTACACTTTTCTTCACATATTCTGACATACATGTAGTTCTGACATTTTTTCTCACATGTTCTATAACATAATATCCCGAAAAGAAGAAACAAACAAACAAGAATAAAAGCCTTGTGATATCACATCATATGGCTTCCAAGACAAAGGATATTAAAACATTTCTAATGAAAGGTCTGTTGATGACAGACTCTTTCATATCTTAATATTGTTTGGCAGCTTCATAGAAATTTGTAGGACATATCTATAGACTGTCCCGTACAGCAAAGTATATATCCTATTGAAGATGGAGCCCAACCCAATTTATCTGGAATCTCTCATTAGAGAAGTTAACAGATTGATATCTTTCTCACCTGAAGACCACAAACCATGTGTGTGGTGGTTGCTCCTGGTAGGTGCCTTGGAAGTCTACGTAAGAGATCTTGTTCCACTCGTCTTGGTAGAAGGTGAAGTCAGGCATCAGATCAGGATCAGTCTTGAACATTGTCCTAAATGATGGATGGAAGACATAACTACATTACAGTTTGTGTACATATACAAATATAATAAGATTTTAAGTAGTTCTCTACCATTCACGGCATGTAGTGTTGCCAGTTAGTATAGCAGTGATTCATTGTATATTTGCAAAGTCTGATACTGCTATGACCCCTCCCCCAAAAAAGATGAAAGTAAGAAAATATATAAGCACAGAATATTGATAAACTTTTTAATGCTCGAAAAGAGATCTAGACAACTCAAAGAGATCGGGAAAAAAAAAAGAAGAGATCTGGGAAAACTATTAAAAAATAGAGTTATTTAAAAAAAGAGCTCTAATCAACTAAAAAACAGTTTTTGCTCAGGCACTTTTTAAATAGCTGAAGGGAAGAGGAAAAAAAACAATGAAAAAATATAACAACAACAACTACTTCTTACAATGAACTGAAAGACTATTAGCTGAAGAGTTGCTTACCTGAATAGATGTAGAGCATGTTGCTCCAGGTTAGGCTCCATGATGCTCCAGGCTTTCTGGAGCTGCTCCTTGGCTTGGACATTGATAGTGGTTCCTGATGGAGAAGAGGAGAATAGATGGAAAAAAGACAATAGGTACAGCTGTAAGAAAGATATGAACATTACAGTACTTTCCTCACAATACTACTATGTTGGGCGACGTATGCAATGCCAGGGAGTGGCAGTTGGTTGGTTTTGATTTGATAGCTGGCCTCAAGGATAATTGTTCTTTGGGGGTAATTGACCTTCAAGTGTAATCATTCAACTGGGATTTACTGTATGGGGAGTACAGAACAGGTAGTTACAATTATAAGAGATAGGTGTCAGGGGGGTATTTCACAAAGATCCTAAGTTGAACTTATCTCTAAGTTGGACTTAACAATTATGGAAAGCCATTAGCATCCTTGAAAATATTTGATAAATGTTATTTTTAAAGGCATAAAATGTTGATTCAAATCATTCATATTTTCTATTATCAAGGAGATTTCATGTTCTTGATGTGGAATTTATAAAAAGTCTAAAATACTTGAATTTTGGCTTTTGAATATATTTTATTTTAAGGCTACAAATGGCTTTCCATAAACTTTAAGTCCAAGTTAGAGTTAAGTTTGACTTAGGATCTTTGTGAAACACCTCCCAGATCACATTTCTAATCCAACAGAAACTCACCTGGACTCCTGGCAGCCTTGACCTTACGTACATAGCATCCTCTCCAATACTTGGCAACCATTGTGACAGCCTCATCCTCCCCCTCTGTCGGCTCCCTAAAAAATAAAAGCAATCATAATAAATTATAGATAAACTATAGATATCAGACCTGCTGAGAGACAGATACAACATCAGTGGAGAAACAGAAGAGCATTTATTCAGAGCCTTTAAATTAAAGTATGAACACTGTTAGCTCTTAGCAGAGAAAATGAGCTGAATGACATGTGGATGCTTTATATATCAAATATGCCACTAAAAAATGATAGTATTTGACTTTAAAATGATTCAAAGGATTACAATGAAACATGGACTTTTGAAATTGTCAGATCATTCTTCATGTCAAGTTTCGTGCGACACAGATAGACAAAAAAGGGAATAAAATTTGTCTGTATTTGAAAGTTGATACGCAAACCCATATTAGAGGGTAATTTGAAATTTTTTTGAGAGCCTCTTGATATCTAAGGAAATGTCAAATGTAAATGATGCACGCTCGTGAAGTAGGCTCTCAGATAAAGCCATGTGATTTTATAAAGTAATAGTTGTTCTCAAGTATCATTACACACTCACCTGTCTACCCAATGATCTGGAACTTCAACTGTTTGAGGAGTAAACAATGAAAATATGTTATTATGAGAAATATAATGAATTGTAACTTTACAATATTGCGTACTTCAGTACATTCTCCCCTGGTCACCCTGATGCTAGAATTTCGTTTAGAAATGCATTCATCATGACAATGATGTAATATATCACCTGAACAAGTATTGGTCTATCTTAATAATTATATAGTATATGAGAGAGAGAGAGAGAGAAAAAATGTATGATGGAGTGATGAAGTAAGCACTACGTAACATTGTACTTCTTTATTCAGCAGCTTTTGGATATGTTATTACAGCATGCCATAGATACATTATCTTTTTTAAATATTGTTACTTTAAATTATTTCTAATGGTTATCTATACTGTATGTAAAATTTGAGCATAGTGTAATTATCAATTCTTGAAAGCTGATATAAGTACTTGCTGCAAATTTGAAGCCAAAATAAACAAGAAGTTTCCTTTTGACTTAACTTTTGTTGTACGGTGGGAAAAGGCATGTTCCCATTAAATTTGCTTCAGAAACATGAATCTTTAGTGACATTGTTTAAAGCTGAGCCTGCAGAGTAAACTCATCTTGACTGTAACTGTCTCATGATGGTGATGAACAAGATTAATTGTGCTTTATGTGTGCTGGGGTATCTTAGGTCAGTGCATCATGCTGGAACATATTACATGTATCTTCAAGACAGTTTATGTTTTTTTTTAAGTGCAACATTTCATAATTCTGGAGTAAATGAAGTGTAATCCATTCCTTCACAGTGACAAACACACCATGATATTGAATGTTACATGTATGTTAGATTGACACACTTTGACAGATATTTCCACTTTTATCCGTAAAAACTAAAAAAATTGATGAAATGAATACACCCGATGAAAGTATATGTAAATATTATACACCCTGTGAAAAAAATTGTGTAACCAATGAAGTTCTCAGAAGGGAGCTGTTTGATGCATATCCAAATAATTGGATTCCTCATATTAGATGCATGTGCTGAATGTAACTAAATGTATAAAAACCTGTCCATATAAGACATATCTGACTGGTCATTGGAGGTGAGTGCTACAGATTTAGCCTTTTTAATAGTGTCAATGAACTAGAATATCTAAACCACCCCCTTAAGAGAGAGAAATATATCTCATAACCATCAAAGAAGCACGAGTTCAAATAAAATCCCAGAATACACTTAAATCCAATATTTCAGGCTAAATACTATGAACTGCATGTAAATGCCACATTTCGACTTGATTACTTTATTCTTTGACATTTATCTTCAGCTATATTCATGAATGTTGAAAAAAAAAGATGACTTCAACAACCTGAGGAGCCTATACTGCAATTTCAGGAAAATCCTTTACAATACAGATGTACTAAGGAAGAAATTCAATGGTATTTAATTAAACAAATTGTGCATATCATCTTGGTTGGAAGTGCTACTGGGTGTAAATATGAAGTGAACAACTCAAGTGCAGCATAAAAACCAGTGAAGAATGAAACCAGTGAAGGATCAAAACCAGGGTAGGAATGAATAATGGAATGGTTGATGTGGGAGGAAATCATGGCAAACACAATAGTGAAATGGGAATAAAACAGGAGTAAGTAGAACAAAAATTAAAAAAAATAGGAGGGGTCCAAACACACCGCCTTGTGGTTCTGCTTCCTCTGTGGTTTCTGTTTGAAAAGGAATATCACAGTAGGAGAAGATAGGACACATTACATGAAGTCTTCTACATACATGCAAAGAGCAAATGACACACATACTCATTACCTTTTGTAAATCCTATTAAATTCACAATCAGGGCCCCGTCTTATAAAGAGCTGCGATTGATCCAAATTAAGTTGCCATCGATCGCAACTGTTTATAAGACGGGCCCAGAAGTAAAGTTGTTTTTCTATGGAGTTACATGTAGCATTAAAGAAGACAGCATGCACAACAGAAAAAACAAAATAGTATCTATATATTAGATTATAAATACAGGTAATAGGAAAAGGGCTTCCTTTATCCCTTTTATGAATGCACTTTAGGCACTTCCTATCACAGGGGGATACAACAGACAGAGAGATACAAAACAATTGAGTGTCTTTATCTTTAACTAGATAACTTTACATCCCTCTCTACACAGAAACACTTACAGAAGCTAACATAATACATAAAACTTTAATCAAGAAAATCAAACTTTAGTATCCCAAACCTGTAAAAGTCAAAACCTCTTATTAAAGTTCCTTTCTCCAGTATCCACTGCATACATTCAATACAAATCTTGACACAAAAACTCTCACGCTGGACTACACGACTCGCTGTTCTACTTACAACTAACTTGACTGCCTGCCCTTGACACTTTGCAACCCAACAAATAATCAAATTAGTCTACTTTGGAAAAGAGGTGCATGTAGCTTTATACTAGGAAGTTCAGCTAAATCCAAGGTAATTATAGTATTCAGCGTTTTGTATCATCGGGAAAAAATGTCTTTACAGATTGAATTATCATTATAACTATCATCATGATGTTGTTGAGTACAGTATGACGAGAAGTGCAAGTACACATGAATAATAGATTTCTTAAGATGAAGTGTAAGACACTGAGATACATTATTTTGTCCCTCTTTTCAATATTACAGAAACAGCTGTGGAAAAACTGCTTTTACAATTTATACATATTTGCACACTAATTAGCTTTATACATGTAAGTGCATGATACATGATTGTCTGTTTTTTTTACTGCTAAGAGTAATATAATTAAAAACTACCTAGCAACAACAACAAAAAGGCATACATGTACAGCACAGGACTACTTGACTACAACTTGAATATTAGCATCTACATGTATTGTTTGATACATTACATAACTTTTGCACCACTCTACTATGAGCCATAAACTATAAACTTGGTACATTTCACTGCAATGAAACAGATTTCATTCATATCTTTTCCTATCGTTAGAAAACCTCTGGGTAGATGACTTGATCATATCGCCTGAATCACAATAATATACAAGAAGATCAAACAAAACTTACTCTTTCTCGACAGCTTGGCTGATTTCCTTGAGGCACCAGTAGCTGTACAGAAAAGGGGGAAAATAGTAACATGATAATACAATTGCAAATAATTGTAATAATATTTCAAAGTTCTTTTTTTTCAATTCTAAATTGACTTACATGTATCATTGAAACACTCCAATATTTAAGTAATAATATAGTTTGATAAGTTTCAGAACAATTAAGAAAATGAATTTTCCTGATATAGAAAGAACTGATTTCACTTAATTTTCCCATTAAAATCAAGAGATCTTATGTCATTTCTTATAAAGTATTCATTGCCGTACACAGAGTAAATGATTTTATACTCATGTAAAAAGTGAAATAGATGTTTCTTAAAACAGAAGTGCTTTAATGCACAATTGTCAGATTTTGATCTATGAAGGGAGGTTCTTCCAGTTCCACATCAACAAATGATCTAACTAATTTTCTTCCTTTCTTAAACAACACATTTTCCATTTTTGGTTTCATTCATTCAAATACGAAGATAGAAAGTTAAAGAAGGTCATTATATCCAAAAACTTTGCCAGAAGTTTACAATGCCATCAATGATACAAATCATTTGGTAAGAAATGAATGAAGTTAAATCTCTCCTAGACTACACACTTCTGCGGTCTATGTCATAGAATCTATGGCTGCTAAAGCTAAAAGATCTACATGCATAGACTCATGAAGGGTGCAAACACATGCTGCGTAGAAGGAAAGTTAATTCAAAAGTTAGGAGTCAATATATGAAATAAATGTTGTTACACAGTATTATACAAAATTGTACAATAAATACGAAAACAAAGAACTCAGATGATAAATGTGAAATTAAAAAAAATGAACAGAAAAAAAAAAAAAAGACATGATCAAATCCTAAAGAAACAAAGATAAAAATAAAAATAAAAGAAATCTGTTGATGTAAAAATCAGTGAACCTGTATTCGTTATATGTTAGACAGGAAAAAGAAATCTACATCTATTGCCTTTCAGCTCAATAAAATCTAAATGGAAATGAAGCTTAATGTCTTAGTTTCTATGTTAAAGTTTCAAGGGATACTTTTGCATTTATTCTTTGTATTTAACAACTGAAAAGCATAATCCTCATTATCGAGAATAACAAAGATTTGTCAGTATTCTTTCAATCAAAATGGTAATTCAAAATAAATTTTACTATAAAATCTTAAGGGGGACTAATCACGTCCAAACATTGTAATTTGAAACACCTCCTCCCATTCCCCCTCCCCCCCCCCCCCCCCCCCCCCCCCCAAAAAAAAACACCCCACCTATATGAGGCATTTAAATGTTGATGAATTAAAGATGTGGAAAATTAATTTCATATTGAATATTCTTCTCATGCATCAAATTGACTGTTATTTAGTATGTATTTAAAATTGTTGAAAATGTCTTTCCAACTTTCTTTATGAAGCTGTAAATACACTAGAATGGTACCCAAAACAGAAAACCCAAATTATGTATTCTTTTATCAATACTTGTCTTCAAATACATATTTTATTTTTTTTTGGTGGGGGGGGGGGGGATCTTAGCAGAAGTGTGTCTTAAATGACATTCAGGTATAATATTAAGATTAAGATTTAGTACCAAAATACCAAACATGAAATGTAAACACAATTCTTATAAATTAATTTGGTTAAGTTTTAAAAAATCAACCTCACATTAAGTTTTTTGATTAGTATTAATTAGTATACCTCCTGGTTCACTGGTGATATCTGCAGCGTGCGTGCATGATGGTACAGGCATACAAACGTGCAGGGTACGTGCAGGTTGCGATATATGCATGGATCAGGGGATGAAATGAGCTCATGAGTTTGGCATTGGTGAATGATTTGATGAAGGTAATGGGACAGTGCAATTACAGGTAATAAACGTTTCGAGGGAAAATAAGTTTTTAGCATTTTCCCCTTAACAAATTTATTCAAGTTTATTGACTGAGAAGTCTCACAAAATCAAACTTTTTAGAAATTGTAGAAATTTGAGTAGTATTTGTGCAATATCAATCGTAAAAGGTGAATTGTGAATCAAAATTGGCCTGTTAATATGAGGGAATACTATCCCATACTTACAGGGCCTATTATCAATGCCGGGTGCTATGGAGCACAAGTAAATTTGAAGAAAGTTCAAGAGAGTTAAAAGGAATTTAAAATACTTTATATATCCTACTTCTGAGAATTCCTTTTCTGCTATTCATGCCAGATTTGTAGAGCAAGATATTTTGTAATATTGGTAAGACTTTACTTTTTCAAGGCTTAAAAGGCTTCAGATGATGCCTGTACTTCGTAGCCTTGAACAAGAATATGAATGATATTCATATTCCAAAAAATAGTCTCTGCCATTGCCATAATAAAAAGCATAGGATTTTGCTGGATTTTTTATCTGTTTTTTTACACTGCATGGTAGATGGAACATTTTGTGTAAACTCAAAATACCAACCGAAAGCCAATTAACAACCCTCCACCAGTTATCACTTTACTCCAAACAAAATCTTTAAAAACATTTGTAAGCACAAATCAAGCCAAATTACAAAACACTGCTCATGTTTGTCATACAACAAAAATATATTCATACATGCAAAGCAATTATCTCATGCTTGCAAATTTAAGGATTTTGGGTATCTTTGTCAATTGATTTTTATTTATAAATGGCAATTATTGCAAGAATTTTCTGACCTGAAGCAAATTGTATATTACAAAAAATTATATGAAAATTACAAATAAATATTTAATGATGTTGTATATACAGTATTTGATGGATTGCAAAATATATGATCGATACCGAAGTTAAACATATGTTACATGGTTACATGGAAATACACATCAATATATACCATAAATTTACATAAATGTATGAAGGACTACAATGTCGCAAATATATAAATATGATTTTTTTTTTTTGTCTAGATGACCTACCTGGTCGACTCTGGCTAACAGGTATCCCGGCGATGTTCTTGGTGAGGACGTCAAAGTTGAATGCTTTCCAAGCAAAGGTCATCTCAGGGGTCAAGCTCTCGGTGAGTGACTTGCGCAGGGTGTTGTAAAGGGCATCCTTGAAAACCTGTCAAATGATCACAAGAAGAATTAATGAAAATGCATAAAAATAACAACAACAAAGATAATATGATATTTGTCTTTATAAAGCACGGTACAAAATGTAGTCGTACTACACTCCTTATGAAACACGAGATAAATGAAATGGGAGCCTTTAACATACAATCATAAATGAAGATTAGTAAAAGTATATATATATTAGTATTCCGAATACATCAATTGACCTGAAAAGGGGCAGCAACTTTGCTTGCTATTTATAGCATTCTCTTCTGTAAGTGATGAAACAAAAAAAAGTGTATAGATATAGGTACCACCTTTTATAACTGCAAAATTCACACAATACAAGTATCGTCTGTGAATAGACAGAAGGGTGTTAACCTTGTGTTATATAATAAGAATTGACACACTTCTGGATCACTACCAGGATGTTGTTGAACACGAACAGTAGAATTGGACAAGTTCTTTTCATACAGTCCCAAGGATCTTATTAAATCTTCATACAAAATGGCAAATCTGTTCTTACAGATTACCGCCAATATAGCATTGGGCACCAGACTCTTCATCTTACTGACTGTCTTTTTTTGTAAGGCTTTCAAAACCTTTCAACCGATGCAGGCAAAATGGTGCTTCTGTTCTTACCTCATGATTGTGTATGACAGCTAAGGTGTCGTCGCGTACAGGACAATGTAGAAGACCAAGTTCCTTCATGTTGGTGTTGAAGAGCTCCTTGTTGTCAAAGTTCTGGATGGCGTTGCCGATGGTCTGCATGACCTGCATGGCCTGGTCTACAAAACGACAGCTTTCCTGTAAATATAACACAAAAATATGCAATCACCAATCATATGGAAGAGAGTGTTCAGGTTCTCCAGTCCTAATTTTATACCACATATCGAGGGGTCAGTGACACAAAGACGTAACTCCATTTTGGCCATTTTGAGAAAGTAGTTTAACGATAGAGGTCCACTCGGGCCTTAAGGAGTTAAGTCTATGTTTCACTAGCCATTGACTTCAATGCGGTGTTGGGTGGAGTTAAGTCTTTGTGTTTCCTGGAAAACCAACATTTTCTGAACATTTTGATATCAACTACTCATTTTGGCAAAATATGAAGTTACATCTTTGTGTCACTGAACCCTTAATATGTCTTAGACGTGTTCAAGGTGACAAGGCAGAGTGAGGATGCAGTATGTTTTGGTGGTCCAAGCATTCCAATACCAATATTGATGGCCTTGTCCCTTGGATAGGATATGAAGCACAAGTCCTTTGGTTCATTCATTGGCAAATATCTATTTTTTCAGCATAAAGGGAACATAAACAGACCTGCCAACCTCTGGAGTTCAAAAACTGTATTCTTTAGTGTCAAAAGTTGTATTTTACTGACAAAAGTTGTATTCTTGAAAATAAACACGAATTGTTACGCGGATCAATGCCTCTTACAGTTTCTACCTACAAGAAGAATTTTTGTTATTGATCATTGGTTGAATATGCATTATTTCGTCACGACTGGTATGTTCGATGAACCAATAAACATCCCCAAATTGCCGATGTGTGATGCTTGTAGGATACTTTACAGGATAGAATGGACATTTTGCCATTGAAAATGGCGGACGCCCACATAAAATATTAATTTAAAAAAATAAAAAATAAATAAATAAATAAATAAATAAATAAAATAAAAAATAAAAAATAAAAAAAAAAAAAAAAAATTTTTTTGTTTTTTTTGTTTTTGTTTTGAAAATCATATTTTATTAAGGAAAATCGTACTGTCGTATTTGCTTCTAAAAATCGTACTAAATACGACTAAATCGTACTGGTTGGCAGGTCTGCATAAACCATCGATGTATATCATTAATTTGCATATCAATTTTTTTTTCTCTATCAAAAGTGAAAATCTAAAACTACGGTGTCTCTGTGAGTAGACAGATCCACACAATATCAATACTAAAATCAAACTAGCAAAAGATAGGTTTTGAATGCAAACCTTAGTAAGATGCGTCATGACTGTTTCCTCATCCCCATAGACAAATGGCACAGTGGAGCACAGGTGAACATGGTACCCTAGAGGTGCGGTCATCATGAAACGAAGGACATGCCGACTGTAAAATAAAACAATTAAGATTTATAGATACACTGTAGATAATATAAGCACTTGGAAGAAAATATGTCAGTAAGAACCATAGCCACAAAAGTGGAAGCTTTCATGGGCATTGTGCAACCCGATTTCAATATGGTACCTCCTCATAATACAATAGTTGCTGCTCAGTCAATTTGTTTGGGCCTTGGCAGTGCTTTAAAATCAAATTGTGAGAAAGTTATGTTGGTAACATGTGATAAAGTTGTGAGAAAGTGAGTAATTGCGCTAAAGGAAAATGTACATTCTTAATGACTCTATAGATATTAAAGATCTCAGATATCATGAGGAAGGGCGTCTTTAATTATTGACGGTGAGATTACGGAATTACATCTACATAGAACATAAGAAAGCAAATTGCAGAGTCCTCAGGCTCTGGAAAGACAGTACTCACCCTGGAGGCAAGGTGAGAGCAGCAGCCTTGGTGAAGGTGGAGCGAATCCTCAGGATGGGTTGACCAACCACCAGACTCTTCCAGGAGTAGGGTTCTGCTACCAGCAGACCGGGCGTGGTGGGGGTCACAGGCGTGTCTTTGGGAGTTATGATAGCTGCAAGGAGAATCAAACAATATCAAAATATATATTCAGTCTCATTTTGAGCTCTTAGGTAATTAAAAAAGTCACATCAAGTAGTGCAATTTATCCAGACTTCTTAATCATCCTGTGGTGTGAGATAAACTTGCAGACTAGAACAGGAGGTCCATGCTGTTTTCCCCAAAAGTATTGTTTCACACAACATCGGGCTGTGATTTTAATGAGAACAGACAAAAATGAACTACACATTCAAAAATTTCATACTACTGAAAAACCTAGGGACCTTCTTTGTAAGCTGGTTCATATTTTCGATGACATATTGGTTATAAAAAAAAATCTCTTTCATCTCTTAAACGAGATGTCATCATGGGTCCAGCTATGAAGTTGCATTGGTGTCACAGTCTGTTGATCTGCACTTACCATCAGCCACACTGCTTGATCCAGCGATGGACTCTGTATCCTTGAGCTGATCCTTGCCTCTGGTAGAGCTATGGGAGGTCTTGGGTAGATCAGCAGGGGGATCAAACCACCTGGAGAGCGATGAGAAGCTCACGATGATCTCAGTAGGCTCTAGATTATCAACGACTAAGATCACCAGTGGGTCAAGGATAATTGCTTCTTCATCTCATTTTCTACTTCACAACATCATCATGACGTATTTTACCTTGTAAATGACCATGCAATTCAGCTTAGGCTGCAAGAATGTCATTTTGAATAAACCCTTATTGAATTGAATAATTTGAATTGAATAGGTATTCTCATTTTAATACACGAAATATTCCTGTAACACATGCATTATAACTGGCAACTGTCATTTACAATAAAAACAAAATTAAATTTTAACAGTTTGAACTTAAATTTTACTCCCGTTTTAAAGTTTTTATGTAATTTATCTAATCGTGTTATCAGTTTGAGGAAAAAAAACTTAGCAGACATCATTAGGCCTACATGTAGAACGTAGGTTGTAAAGGATACACATGTAATGTGGAGATCGATCATCTGTTGTGGTCTGTAATAAAGAAAAAGATAGAAGAAACAATTATCAATAAATCTTTGACTAAATTGTTGCAGTGATAGGGCCTACTGCTTAGTGCTAAACATAGGCATCACTTTCGATAGATTATATTTTTATTTTTTCAAAATGAAAGCAATAATGTAGAAAAAACAGCACTGAATTTAGAATGATTTCATTTCAGAAGATACTGACAAAAATTCTGAGGCATTGTATTTTCTACCTGTATGCCTTTTCAAATGAATTTTAATTTTTCTTTCTCAGGAAGTCATGTCATTTTAATCATCAATAGTGATCTGTCAGTTTATGACAGGTTCAGTGACCCAATCATTTTAATAGAAGAGAAAAAAAATTAACCTGCTCAAATTGAAATGTGTCCAGTGTGTGGAAGTGAATGAAGATGTGTGGCAAAAATCAAACAAGTATAAACAAAAAGAAGAGATTATTTCTCTTTTGTTTTTCTTGGTCACTATTTTAAAACTTGAACACGATGCAGTGGACAGAGTAATGCATGCATGATGATCATGAGGTGAGGTGATGTCAGTGCTCAAGGTTAAAGTCCAGCAGTTTGAAAAAGAATTCATGCAAAAACATTAAGGTACGCCATAATGTAGTTATAATTGTTAAGCTATTATTATCACGTGTGGCGTTCGCTTGTAAATCGTTTTGAGCGAGGTTCGTGGTTACATGTTTTCTTTCAAGGTTTGCGGTTACAAACCACACTCAAATCTATCATCACCGTGGAAGACTTCAAATATTGTAAAGTGTTGTTTGTTATTGTGTGGCTATATGTTCAGCCTTCATTTTCAGTAGCATTCTACTCACTGGTTCTTTGATTAGTCTTAAATACAGGTAAAAAGCTTTAAATTTTACTTTAGCTGGTGTCTTGTCTCCTTGACAAAGATGTACATAAACACGTTTTACATTACTTTATCAGATACAAATCACTTACATCTTTTTCTATCATCACAACAAAGATTAATACAATTCATGCTGGTTTACTGCATGCATGTACTAAAATCCTACCCAAACTACTTTGTCATGTGTTTATAAGTGATGGGGGTAAATAAATGATGCAGTGAAGATCCAACAGAATAGAGGAAATAGACCAAATAAAAGGTGACTGGATGAGGGATTGGATAGATATGTATAGGATATGATCGGGTGGGGTGGGGTGGGAACAGGCATGGGTGGGGTAGGAACAATTAAGGGTGGGGTGTTGAGGTGAGAACCTGATGAATGTCAAGTGTCTGGTGTTGATAAAGCTCCTCTAAATACCATGTGAGAGTGATTGTAAAGAAGGTGGCAAGAGTGAATGATATATAATCTATCTTGTATCTTTCACCTTATGGCCTTCAAAGTTCATTGCTGGTCCTCGCTATAATTGTATACATACGTGGTAGGAGAAGAAAACCAAAATCCATCTTGATTGACACACATGCTGAACATATGGATGTTATCAACACAACTGAATATTTTTATGATTGGATGACGACAATAGGTTTACAATGGGATGCAAGTCATATTGTGAATGGATGGAGATGGAGATGGAGATGTAACACAATATGTGGTGGACTGTAAAAGAATGAATTTAATGTGTAAATATTGTCACCATCCAAAATTTCTTCGCACCCTTCTTTGTGTTTCTGCCTTCCATTAAATGACAATCATCATGTATCCCCATTTCTAAAAAGTTATTTGGTCCACAAACGTGGAGTAGAAAGTTAATTTGAACACAAAACTACATGTACATTTCTTCATTCATGAAATGTAAGCGATATGTTTAAACACTTTGTTCCTCTTGCTGAATGCTGGACATGATCTCATAGCAATGAAAATGATCACTCCTTACCTTAGCTACAAAATAAATATAATAACATCAAAATGGTACTGATACAGCTCTTTTGACTACCAAACTTCACATGACATGGAGGTCAGGGGTGGGAGGGGCATCCAGGGAACCGTTTCACAAAGCCTTTTCTCAATGACAAATGACAAAAAAATCAGTGACAAATCTGCTGATAACAAATCAGAAGCAAGGATTTCAGTAGCATATAACAAAGACTGTCATTTTTAACGGATGACAAGTTTTGTGAAACGGGCCCCTGGCAAAATCTCTAGAGTGTCTTTCCTCTTTACAACATAAGATTAAAAACAAAAGCAATGTCACGAGAACATGGATGTAGTTGCCATGGTGACCCTACTTACATGATGCGGCGGTGAAGGACTGAAGGGCATCCTAGCAGGCGTCTGTGAGGTCATTGACCCACTGGGGTTGGCCGGACCACCGGGGGCAGCAGACTTCTTACCAGCGGTAGGTTGCACACTCTATAGAGGGGATGAAGGCAGACTAGTATTACAGGTGGCACCGGTGGGATATAGGTTATTCAGATTCATTTACATTTTATTGACACCATCTTTAGCTTTATCTTTAAATTTAATATACAGATATATGTCAAGATCTATCTCCTCCCATTTTTAAATCAATGGTTATTTATTCACTCAAATTCTAAGACAACCTTAGCAATTACGGTACTCATATCTCAAATACCATGGACAACAGTGTTCAAATTTGTTCAAAACCCTCCAAATACTGAGTCTGAAATATGGTCCATCCAAACAAGTATACTCCCCTTAAAAGTATCCCATAGTAATTTTTTGTTCTATTCCACATTGTGACCAATACTTAGAAGTGTTATTATGATTGTTTACTTCTAAACTTACTCACAAATACTTGCTTTATCAGTTGAAAAAGAATGAAATTTGAAACGTGCCAAGATTTAGGAATAAAATCAATTTGATTTTTTTTAAATATATGTGCTTGTAAAGTTCTATTGTGCAATTCGATTGAAACAAATGTTAGGGGAGTAAATATTTCAGATAACGTAATTAATTTTTTTTTAAATCGGTTACACCTTACAACCATACATAAGTGAATTACCAAACATGTGTAGAAGACATATACAAAGAGGTAAACACAAAACATAGCTTCACAAAACATGTTTAAAAGGCATTTTAGATGATCTTCTTGGAAGTAAAATACATACATAAATTATCACAAAAGATTATAGCAATATATTAATTTCCCACATTAATTCCCATTTTTTTTAAATGTAAAGAAAGATTTATAAGATGGTGTAACAATATTTGCAAACAAGCACTGACCCAGCACTGATACAAAAGAATGTATGAGACATCTTTATAATGAAGAAAGAAAATATGCGAAAATGAAAAAAGAAAGAAATTGATGTGCAAATGCATAGGAATGAAAAATATTGACACAACTAGGGAAGCCACTAAAAAGACCTTTCAACTTTCTTTTATATTCAAGTTCAGAGATTGTGATAAATAGACCAAGTAGCTTTTGCTCTCCACGAATGTTGCTGTCAAAACTAATTGCATCTATTCTCTTCTTTCGATTCAAGTGAAATTGTTAGGGGTACTGCCCCACTCGGCGACTGATTCCTGGCAAGGTCTACCCTCAATTCATAAAAAAGTGACAAAAGAATAGCTAAATAGTCACAGGGTGCCAGAAAATCTGTAGGTATCGTCAAATTTTAAAGATAAAGTTCAGGTGGTGTGATAAACTAATAATAACATAGGGAGGAAACACGCCACTATAATTAAAGAATGAAAGAAGGATTGATTTGATGGTTGGAAAAAAAAATAGAAAGAGCAGTGAAATGTTGCATTATCGAAACTCAGCCGTGCTCAGCAATGACATAAATTCAGAGTGCAAATTTCACCCAGGCAATAAATTCAAAGACAACTATCGAGACAGTTCATACCTTCCCAGCCATTTCCTTTTGAAATAATTGTTAGCATTTGTTGAAATGGAGAACAAACAATGAAAATGCTCAGATCACATAAATGACAACACAATGAATTTTCATATTGTTACATGGCTTTTTAGATTTGAAATGACGTACGTGACTACATCATCGATGGCTACACCACAAGCTTGATTATTACATAATGTGATTTCAAGTATGGTGTTTAGTGTTGGCGTCTGGTGCTTTGAGATAAGTTTTAATTGCTACACGCAGAATTGGCCTAGTATAACAATGATGACAGGACCTGCTATGAATAGATATACTACAAGCTTAAAGTCAATTAGTCTTTAAACTGAAATTGCTTCCAACTACATTGTAACACCCACCATGTTGTTAAAAACACCTTCATCAGATTCTAACACCATAGATGGGTTTACTGTCATTACTCCCGGTGTTAATAACACTAATTAAGTTGGTAAATAAATTTTTTACACAAGGATATTTTTCATACTGTAACAGGACCTGCAATAGTAACTGTATTGGCTATCCCAGGCTCAATATTAAGAAATTACAAACACTGAGTAACTTTATGGTTATTGACACCACACTAGAAATCACAGAATGCAGTATATTTGCCCATGTACCAGCTAGTAAACATGTATCTTATACCTTGTTTAATACCTCATGCATTCCCATGTATACATGTATATTTTTGCAAGATGACTCCGCACTTAAGATGCTCGTTACCATAGCAACAAGTAAGAAACACCCTTCTTGTGTAACCTCTTATAAGCAATGACAGAAAAGAGTACATGCATACATGTGCGTAACAATATATACAAATTGTTTTTACAAAATCATTCAATCATCAGATAAAAAAGAAATTAATGATTTTTTGGTGGTGGTATTGTCTGTTTTGTGATTCCTGAGGGATTTATGCAAATATGATTTGTCTTTTCTTTCATGACTATGACCTCATACCTCATCAATAAGGAAAAGTTCGACAACATTGCTTATGCTTAAGGTATACATTCGACCACTGAAAATGCATCTGTGCTAATAATGTCATAAACATTTCCCCCCGAAACTCTGACATGTTTACGATGAGGCCGTGTTCCTACTTGTTGCTATGCACAGTATATGACGAATATCTCAAGTTAGGAGCCATTCACACAAATTTGCGCCAATGATTTAGCTAGGGTGTGTTTACATACAGAGTCAGCCAACAAGTCATAGCTTGTTGTGGTTCTCTTCCGGGTAGAGGTGGTAGTTTGCTGCCATTATAGTGAAGGAAATATCAAAGATGACATCATTCTTAGGGGCAACTAATAATACATGGGCAAGTGATTTTAAAGGGGCAAGTGATAATATAGGGGCAATTAATGATGACAGGGGCAAGTGCCAAAATGGGGCAAGTAGCATATCCTCATATGAAATGTACCATAATGATACCAGATTTTAACAATATATTTGTCTGTTTTGAGCCAGAAGGTTGTCAACTCATTTTACAGAGACTGATAACGCCCTTCTCACTCCAAACAGAGGACAGCATAAGTTATCAAAAAGATGCAGTGCTACATGTACTCTTATGTCTTCAAATAAAAGTTCATCTGTTTTTAAATAGTGATAAACCTCTGCACTTGTAAATAGTACTTAAAAACACACACACATATTGGTAAAACACAACAGATACACAAGTATTGCACTGGAATTCTGCGATTAGTGGGTGTAAAAATGCAAATTATACAAGTGAAACTCATAATTCAGTGCAATCTGTTATGCACTTTAGTGTCTACATAATGTACACACACTGTTGCGAATTAAAACTGAACAGGAGACAAACTTGCAAGCTGTGTGCAAAAACAAATCTACTTCATTAAGGGCTCTGGAATAAAACATCAAAGGAAATAATGCTGTATTAAATGTTTTTCAGTTCATCAAAGATATAATGGTAACAAAACATTGTGCATGAGTATATAATCACAGATGGTATCTTTGTTAGTATAAGGTCTGCTAATTTATTTTCTACTAGCTATTTCAGTTTATCATTTGTGAATCATATTTGACTGTTTTTCAGACTCTCTATCTGTTAGAGCTACACGTTCAAAAACTACTGTGATGTTGATGTGCAATTGAAAACACTGCAAATCTACTAATAAAGACATTCTAATTCATGCATTTCGAAGTGTTGCTCACATCTGTTTTCATCTCATTACAAGATTACTAATACAAAGTCAACACTATATACAATTAACAACTATATTATGCATACCCTTACAAAGTTGGGTAATTTGTAAGGTATGTGAAAAATTGATTTGTCAATTTCTTTTTCTTGAGAGTGTGACATATCAAAGCTTACATCTATGAAAAAATTTACAAAGGCCCTAAGTTAACCAATTCACCTTTCATTCTTGAGTTACAAGAAACATCAAATTTACAAATGGTAATAATAATAATAATAATAGCCTAAAAGTTCACTCCAAATTTTATTAAACCGAAACCGAAATTCTTTTTGCCCAATTGATCGTGAGCCCGGCAGCCACTGGTATGAATAATTCAGTTGTTAAGTATATATATATATATATATATTTTTTTTGGGGGGGGGGGGGGGGGGGCATTCCTGAAAAGATAAAGAACTTTCATCAAAAGAGACTCTGGTTTCAAATGGCTCTAGGAACATAACTTTCAAATTGGAGGACTGACTATTTTTAAAAATCAAATGTACCGATGTGATAACAAATAATGTTCTGTAAAATAAAATCTCAAAATGGTGCATAAAATCAAAGTAAATTGCATCACATAATTATGCTATAAGTTAATCTACATATGTGAAATAAAATAAAAAACAAGAATTAATGTGTATTTAGTGTGTCGTTTGTGCATCAAACTGCAGGCAGTGGTGAGAACGTACTGGTTCCTTGACGCCCCGAGCACTGGAGGGGTGCGCGACCACGCCCGGTAACTCACTCTGGTTGCATGATGAAGAAGGGAACGCATGAGTCAGGTTTTATGAGTGGGAGTCATATTCAATGTTCATGAGCAAAATACTACCTCTAACATGCTTATATATTTTCTTGATGAATCTAAAACTAACTAAAAACAAGTGGAGAAAGTCCACAGACGGTAAATCACATGCATTTTATTCTTATCATTTTTTTAAGGAGTGTCTGAGTGTATGACCTCTTCATAAACTCTTCATATTTTTGTCCACATGAATAAGAACTCCTGTCATGGGTCATGAGTCATGAGTTCAAAGTATGAACATATCATTTTGGAGCCAGAAGGGCATTTATTCATACTTAAACACGGCGTTAAAGATAAGCTTGAGTTCTGGTAAAGAAAGAATAAATTCTCACAGAATCCAACAAAACTTACACTGATTACAAATAAATGACTTGTGCCAAACGATTTTTGTAGAAAATGTATAGGGGCCGTGTAATGAGCATAGAAAGATAAGGAAACCAAGATAAGTAGGCCCGACACCATGTGCTTAACACAGGTCACTATGTCAAGTGCAAATGGGAGTTGAGGTTTTTATTGAAGATGATTTCCAGCAAGTTTTTGTGAGGTTTTTTTTAATTCTACTGGTTCAAACAATCAATCTACTGCAGGATAACCAATCCAGAATGAATCATAGCCATGTTCTCTTGACATACAATGCCCATACCAGAGCTCAATATTAGCTTTAACACCCCTTCCGGCTCTGAACGAATGATATAACAAGCAATATTGTACGATTTTTAAAAACCTTCTACTTTCAAGGAAGACATGGTCCTACTTGTTTACCATTTTCAAGTGGTATGATCATTCAAAAGTTTGCTCACACCAATCATTTTGGTGGTGAAATGAAATCAAATTCATGTTAAAGTAATTCAATGCCTTACCTTGAGATCAGATACTTTGTGAGTACACATGTAAGAGCTTGGCTTGTGAAAGACGTACAGTGTTCTGTAGGAAGAAAAACAATAGAAAATCAAATTCTTTCCACAGATAAGGTATTTTGTACCCATGGTTTCAGAATATTGGTAAAGAGATAAAGCTTTAGAACTCTTTTACGATTATTATCATTTCTGTAGATGATAAACAAGTTTCTCTTTTGCTCGTCTTTTTGTCTGTTACATCTCTGTCTCCCTCTTTCTGTCTCACTTTCTCCTCATACTCATCAATTTCTCTCCCTTTTCTTAAGCTTCTTCTGCCTTCTCATCTATATAATTTCAAGCATTAGCCTCCGTCTCCATTCTACAATTCTTTAAGGACATTCATCCTTTGTCTTCTCTATCTTCATCTTTCAAGTTAAAATCAAATTCTGTGCCATCATTTTAAAGACAGTTCCCTAGCAACTGGAGTTATTGAGTTCATATAGTTCTTTAGAAACATATCTTGTCAATATTTGCTATGTCAAATATATGCCAATATATATATATATTTTTTCTGATAAAGAAACATGAAGATGAAATGTCACTTACTTGAAGCACTTGCAGAAGTCCTCAAAGTCCATCCAGACTTTCTTATCCACCTGACACAGCTCTGCCTTGTCCCGGTTGTCTCCTGCTGGGGTCTCGCCGTCCAAGATCATCACCGACCCCTCCCCCAGGGCAGACCGGGGAACACCATCTGTCATGACGGAGTAGGTATCAGGGGGTTGGTCCAGGCCGTACCCCTCGCTGGTGCCGGGGGGTTTAAGTGCCCCACCCAGCCCGCTGCCTCCATCTGTATGCATGTTTTGGGGGTGGGAGTTTGAGGGGAAGTAGGGTAGGGCATGTTGGGGGTGGGGTATTGGGGATAATATGAGGGAGGCATATGGATAAGGGAATGAGGACGAGGTGTATGAGGGTGGGAGTGGTAATGAAGGGATAATGATATATGTAAGTATATACATCTCTTTTTTATATGTAAGGAGGGGTTGTGAGATACATGTAGGGTCTATGTACGTCTACAATATCATTCATTTTTCTTGATTTGTTCATCTGTGCTAATGAATGCAGTAATAATTACATCTTCAAACTGTAAATTAATTTTGATCGTTTTTTTTTCAATATTAAAACGTAACCTCTATGTAGTACTAAATCATTCAAATAAAATATTGAACAATAAATAATACATAACTGCTAATTAATACTTTTAGGGCTAGTATAAATGATACAATTTTGGTTTTTATTTAATCAAACTATGCTGATAAAATGGAAAGGAATACAAGAAATATATAGACAATAAAAGCAATGCTTTGTAACAAGTTTGCATGTACTTCAAACAAAATAGATTCTGAGGAATTACCCACAAAAAAGAAGGATTTTTTTTTTAAAGGATGAAAAAAAAGCAGCTTCCCCAATAAAAGCATGTTTTTTGGTGTCAACAGTCAAGAACAAAAACATTTGCGTGTAGCTAGAAAAAAGAAGGCATATGTGTGAGTGTAAATATAAGAAATGAAATGTACAAGATTGTGAAAACGTGTGACTGACAAACAAAGAAATACACAATCTGTTTCAGTTCCAAAGTATTGAAAATAACAATGTCATTATCATGTAGGCGCATTAAAGGGTATGGATATATAAAGCGGTGTCAGATACAGAATGCATGGTATGAAAGGTAGCTGTTAGAATGGCAGTGAGGATAGGATGAAGTTTGGGTGATTATGTGCAGGGTTATGGTGCAGAGGGATAGAGGTCACTCCAGACATGCATACAGAAAGAGGCAGGTCAAAGGTTAAAGTGCACTTTTTCATGAGAACATCGGATACTAAGTGACATTTCATATAGTAAATCTTTCAGAGGTTCGAACAGTGTATAACACATAATTAACGACTAAACTACACAAAAGATAAGAGAGAGAGAAGAGGATAGAAGAGAAGAGAAGAGAAGAAAAGAGAAGATAAAAGAGAAGAGAAGAGAGAGAGGGAGAGAGAGAGAGAGAGAAAGAGAGAGAAAGAGGAGCAAATATTGGCAAAGGGATCATCAAATGTAAACTTAAGCTTTACTACAGTATCTTAGAGGAAAGGAGAGAAGTAGAGAGAAAAAAAGACAGAAATTGCAGTAAGAATTATGATCAATTATGAGACAGTTAAAAACTGTAAAAATTTTGAAACAAGTTTACGTGCAGATAACCAATTGCATCTTCTTCTTTTTTCCACTATCAATAGTAATTTCGGATCGCTTTTCTTTTCTTTTCCTTTTAACAAATTTAGAAAAAATCATTTTGAAAAGAGAAATAAAGTGAGAGCCATTATTAGAACACACCAATCTATACAAGCAGTTAGATTCACAAATCAACACAATGCAATTTGCAGTTGAAGACATGCAATACCAAGCTATTCTGAAGATCATAAAATTGTGAAAAGGTACAAGTGTCACAAAAGTGTAATGCAGTTTATAGCTGTGAAATTTTGAAGTGTTACAACTTGCTGATACATTCTCAACACGTTACCAATGGCGACGAAGCAAGCAGGAAGCCAAGGGGTCAGCACAGGGTCAAATCAAGGTCAAAGGTCAGTAGGAGCATTACAGAGGAATATTGGACAGACATTTACACATCTAAAGGAGAGACAGGAGTAAATTATTTTTTCTTTCCCTAAGCCCAAGAATTATACTTCAAGACTTGCTCATTTTCCCAGCAATGAGAGTAATAATTGTTAAACAAGAATGGTAAATGGTGGTGGCTGATAGTCCTACGATACTGAATTGTGTTACAACTCATTTCCTCATTTAACACACACCTTAGTGAATTTTTGACTCACATAAATATACTGAAGGTCATATAGTCATATACACATACATCTAGTTTACAAGCCATATTGAAATTTAAAATTATATGAAATGATCTTAAACAATTATTATACCGTAACAAAGTAACTGCTAAAGAAGTGGGAGTCCTAAAATGTGCCTCAATGATAAACTTTGAAGTTTACTTTAAATAAATTTGAAGATTTTTCTCAGTACCTATTAAAGTAAAGTATGTCAAAAGTATAGACAAATCTACAGACTTCTGTAAAGATTGCAGAATCTGAATGTTTGAAGCAAGCTGAAGCATATCTAGCACAGAAAATCTTAGATTTCTTTTAAACTTGACGAGGCAAAGTGTGCTAGATAACAAATCACAATATTGAAAGTGTGTACGTAGGATCAACTAGTGCTGCTTATTTAGAGTTTCAAAATCATGTGTTTATATTTCAACAGAACCAGACTTTCTAAAAGTGCTGACATTATTTCAAAGACATGTCTTAAATATATGTCACACTTACATGTAACTGTCATCTAAAAAGACATGGTACTATTATTCACTTTTCATATTACCACTATACATTATGCAATTCTCACTAACAAGAATAAAGAAAGTAGATATCGACATATAAATTATCCTAATCTCTAGCAACAATATAGAACAACAATGCACAATGCTATTACATTAAAATACAAAGAAATTCACTATGTTTTGTGAAAGCAAATATGTCTATCTGATACATTCCTTTAAATGATCTCTTTTCCCCTACAATTGTTATCATTCAATCAATGGACAAACATCCCTTTTTAATTGTTAGTTTAAAGAACAGGGCAATATGTGCAGGCAATGTTACATCCATTATATGCTATCAACCATTCTTTCTATCTATGCTTCATGGGTTCAAGGTCTGAGGTTGATGGGGGTTAAACAATATGAATTAAACCAGCAATGAAATCAGCAGTTAAATTGTGACTACCTGACAACCCAACAAAACACAATTTTGGAAGAAAAATTCAATATAAGTTGTTATCTTTCGGGTTCAGCAAAATTGGCAAAATAAAAAAGAAGCTTTTAACTGTATTAGTGCCATTTTTCCATACTGTTTACGAATTGAGCAAGATGTACACAAATTTATATCAAGATGATGAATGTTAGACTACGCATTTAATAGTTAAAGGCATTGGTTAATGGCAGATATAAAAAAAAATATTGCCTTTCTGAAAGGTTTTCATTCGCAAAACATTTAATGGTCTGCATAAACAGGTAGCTTTGCCAAAGAGGTACTGGAAGCAAGTATTGCTGAATTATCAGTTTTAAAACCAGCATGGTTTCTGGAAAGGGTGCAGCCTCTTTTGGCATTTGCTTTGAAGTCAGGTGTGAGTAGCAAGTTTTCCTTAGCTGGCCTATGCTTCAGTTTCGCACAACCAACCTTTCCCACCATGAATATGCACTGGACAGTCTTTCATCATTAGCCAATACCTTGAACATATATTATATTATATGACTAAGAAAACCACAGTGTTGGTAAGTGTCATATGGATTAAAGGATAAGATTTTTTTTTTTTCAACATTTTTTTTGGTGTCATTTTTCTTCTTCACTTTTTTCACCTGCATAATCAAAAGAATATACGTGTAGGATTATTTTTTTATTGCAAAAGTTGCATTTCACTCACAGCTATAAATTCCAATATATACCACAAGGGCAAATATGCCACTGGAAAGCAATGTAGATCTGCATAGAGAAACAAAGAAGTGCAAGTTATCTCATTTTCCATGACTTTGACCAACACTGTGATTTAATTGCTGTTAACATTGAACACATTTACTATAACCGTCACAGCCACCACCAAATATTTATTTACACAAAAAAGCGGGGAGGGGGGGGGGGGGGGGTAATGCAAGGGAGGGATAAGCCAGCATACAGACATCAAGCATGCATGACCTCCTACCTTTAGCCCCACTACTCTTCTCCTTCTCACCCTCTTTGCCTTTCTCTTTGACCCCTGACCCTTTGAGGTCCTTGAGTGACACCTTGGATTCCAGCTTGCCGGGGAACATTCTCTCCTTCTCACCTGTACCACGGGACTTCTTGGCTGACTTCTTGGGGGCTGGACTCTGGATCTGATCAGGGAGAGAGGAAATGAAAATGAAAAATAGAAATGATAACATATCATATACTTCAAAGATATTACATTCAATTCAATACTCTGATTGAAAAAATGCAAGGCAAGTGTCTGGAATTGATATCTTGAAAAGAAAGGGGGAAGCTACGATATGGGCCATGTATTTTAAAGCCTTTTGATTGATGGTAAGGTTAATATTGAGTGTAACTATGGCTCATCGTGTATTGATCAAACTTACATTCAATCATAACTCTTTATAATACGCGGCCATGTACAGACAGAATTTAGGAACTGCATAATATCCTAACACTCATTATAACACTAGGGACTAGCCTGACCCTATCTCTCACCCTGACCTTAACCCAAATATATTGTAATGATATTGAACTGAAAATTAAGAATCAAAGATAATTTGAGGTCAGGTCAAGACACAATAAAAACAGATAATGTGATTAATGTAACCCTTTTTACTTTCAAATCTTCAAGAGGCCTAAAGCCATTTTACCAGTGGCACGAATCCAAAAAGGGCTTTTCAAAAGCAGTTGACTAAACACACAGGGATAGAAATAGCACAGAGTTAAAATAGAAAAATAGCTGACACTTACATCTAGTTTTTGGTCCTTTTTATCATCTTTAGCTTTCTTTTCATCAATCTTCTCTATCTTGACACTGCTTGATTTCCTAGCTGACTTCTGTCTCTCTCTGGGGGATGTGTTGGGCATCAGTCCTGGTGAAACAACTCCTCCCATCTAACATACAGCACAGAATACAAGAGAACATGATACGCACTGAAACATCAGTACCTTTGCTTTCAATTGGCCAGAGTAAAAACTACCAAGTATTCTCATTACCCTGGTTACTCGGTTCATGTTTATAAGTTTCCATATGTATGTGCACCATCTCAATTTTATGGAGAACATTTTTTACAATATGACCATGCATGCATGCAAGGTACAAGCAAATTTATTCACAAATGCTTTCAAATGTATTTTAAACCTCGGTTTCAGTCTAGTGAAAGGACTGTAATGCCATATCTAGAATTTTACTAAGGACAATTTTATCAATAGTTTAGAGACATTGATCTATATCCCTATTCAATATGAATCAATATGTCTAAGTATATTGAAAACAAACCTTTATTCATCATTCTTTTAAAAATATAAAGTTAGGATTGTCACAAAAATTACAAAAATCTGATAGATTAATTATATGTGTTTGTCCTTTTCAAAGGACTAATTAACCTAAAGAGCTGGAGTTTTGGGGGTCATCACATGATCTGACTAACCTGTATATCAGGGATGCTACCAGCAGCCATTGCTTCCTTCCTCTTGGCCTCCTCCTCTGCTCTCTGCTTGGCCTCCTTCTCCTTGGCTACCTCCTCCTCCGTCTTCTCCGGAGCATTCTCATCCACCTCACAGATCTCACCCATCTGGGAGGTCTCAGGTCTGGAGACGGCTCCTCGGGACAGCGACGAGTTGGGCCTCTTCCTGCATGGATCGAGAAGTGGGAGAAGAGCGTAGGTTTTTTAATTAAAGTTGCTCATGGGTGGGTATATAGAGGGCAGCACACGGACGTACGCACAGGAGCGTTATACCCGTTGGCTCAATGTTATGTAGTGATTGCCAACTTGCCTACTTCACGAACAACTATATACCCACGCATGAACATCTTTCAGTAATACAGTGAAATCTGCTGTAGCGACCACATGTATGGAGACGCCACAGTGATGTGTTTAATAAAAGTATAGATAAAATTTCTGTCCATTCATTCAGTCTTGCCTTGCCAGCTTTTTCATTTTCTCTCCTATTCCCTTATCAGTTTTTTTTTATTCATCCATTCACTCTCTCTCTCTTTTTGTCATGCTTCCAATCGTACAATCATTTAATTTAATTTACCTTTTATTTATATTATACTGAGGGATGGGCTCTAGCATAAGGACCATACTCCTTTTTAGCTCATCCCTTCACTCCCATTATGATATGTTATTTTGTTGTTTGTTGAATGTATGATATTTTATGTGTGATTATTCCTCATTTAATTGTATATGTTCTTGTATTTTTAATGATGAGTGTAAATAAACGAACTTGAACTTGAAGGTGTGCCTTTTGGATTTTTATTTCCCTTGACCAGTTTTTCTCAATGAAACCTGTTCTAAAGCAACCTGTACACAAAGACCATCTATTCATAAAGTCTGTATATCTTGTCACCCTTGAGTTGACTTTTGTATACAGGTTTCACTCTATTTCACTCCTGTCTTTGATTTTCATTTGATCAAGGTTTCAATTAGTTTCATTTCCTTCTGAACTACTGTCATAAATCTTTGGTAATACCAAAAGTATATATATCCTTACTGCTAGCTGTACATAGTGCAAACTGAATATATCCAAGGACTGCAGTGAAGTCTGTCGCCTTTTGAGCAGATTAGTTTCCTATTCAGTCTTACCTTCTCAGTTTTCACATTCTCTCTACATTTCTTCTGAATGTTTTCTGTTCATCCATTTTCAAATATGCCTTCGAAAAAGGCAGTTATTTTTCTAATTTTACAATTCCTTGTATATGTGAATTTGCTCTTCCTTGACAGTTACTTTAATTCAATTCAAAGGCTAGAGATCTTTGCTGCTCTCATCATATTACCATTCAAAAGTAATATCAATCTGTCTTTTAACTCACGTGTCTGTAGGAATGGGAACAGAGCTGACTTTGTAGTTGACAAACTGAGAGGTCAGCTCCACAAACTGCTCTGGTTTCTTCACCTCAGGTTCTATGAGTAAAGAAAAAGGGGATCAAACAATGCCATCAAGGTATGATCATTTGGAATTTAAACTTGGCTTAAAACATGCATATTCAAAATAGCTTGCAACTAGCCACTACTCCAGTTTTTTTCCACAATGAGCTGCTGCATATAGGCCTACCATATAGTCTTCAATCTTATCAGCACCATTGATTAGTCAACTCGATATTGGTGCTCCAGGGACCTGTTTCACAAACCCTTTTTTCAATGACAAATGATCAAAAAATCAGTGACAAATCTGCTGATAACTAATCAGAAGCAAGGATTTCAGTAGCTTATAACAAAAACTGTCATTTGTCACTGATGACAAGTTTTGTGAAATGGGGCCCAGGAGTTCCAACATTGGATTGGATTGAAATTCAAGGAAAACTTTTTAAATGAACTAATATACACTGCTTAACATCTTTGTAAACTAATAAATCAACTGTGTTATATTACATATGGATATATAATGACAGGTGTAGTTCCAGCAACCTAATTGCACAACACAACTTAACATAATCTTGGAAGTCAAATTGTTGATGTCAACACAGTATCTTTTACTCTGAGCTGTACATATTGAATATAAATATAACATCATAATGAATGTGGTTAACCTGTTACATACCAAGCATGAAATAATCAATTGGAAGATCTGTGTTATACCAAATTAAAATAGCATCAAAAGGGTTAAGGCTTACCTGAGGGTTCATCAGTAGGGGATGGCTTCTTCTTCTTGGGGCGGATCAGTTTCCAGGAGGGGATCTTAGGGGGTGGAGGTGGGGCCACCAGGGGGCAGGATCTGGTCTGGGTCAGCATGAGAGGGTGTGGGTAGACGTGGGAGAGACCGTTCTGACGAAGCCTCTCCGATGCATCAGCCTGTGTTATAAATCAAAGGCCAAAGGTTGTAAATCATCAAGTTTAGAGGTCACACTTATCCATTTCTCTGATTTTCCAGATACACTCTAAGCAATTTCCTACCCAGGATTAAAGCATCCTTTACCAATAATGCAGTAAACTGCTTGATAAAGAGCAACACACCTCAGCAAATAAACTGACATATATAAAAATACACAAATACATGCATCCAAGTGCATCAGAAATATGGTTGTTAAAGAAATACAACACAAAGTTGTACACAGATATTTCTTTTTCAGGCCCTTCTCGAAACTATAAATTACATAAAATAAATATCTGCAAATATCTATAGCAGCTTTTGTTGTTGCTGTGATTGCTGTTGTGTTTGTTATTGCTGTCAATGCTGTGATTGTTGTTATATTTGTTGTTGCTGCTCCTTTATCAATGTTGGGATTGTTATTGTTGTTAATGTTGCTTTTGTTGTTGAGGAAGTTTACCACCTCATACCTGAACGAGACTTCATCCTCTACAAACGTACCATTTCTCCAAGCACCGAGATCCTGACGGGTATCTTAGGAGGGTGTACGTAGCTGACGAAGAGGGTGACCTGGGGGCTCTCAGGGACCATGGGCGTCGCCTGATCTTTATCTGTATGGATAGAAGGGAACAAGATATTCAAATTAATCCAAAGGTACACCAATAAGCATACCAGTATACATAGCAAATTGAAAAAAACAAAAGACATGCAAGTGATTTTAGAAGAGTAAAATTATTTTTAAAACATGCACAAGATGCAATAGCCAAATGAGACATCACATATGAGGATGATATGAATTTATTTCATACCGGTCATCATGCACTCCTCAATAGCATTTTATTAACAACAACAAAAAGTAGAAAGTATCTATTATCATGCAAGATAAGAATTAGCATGTATTTGGTGAACAATCTGTATCTCTTTCTTAAAAACAAACTGTGTACAATTATCTTGATATACCTTCAATACCATATACTTACCTCAGAAAAAATGAGAGTTTATTCTATGAATAAACATTGTCATTTCTTGGTATCTACCGGTAATAATTGCTCACAGTTCTATTTAGAGAGTAGAGACTCTGTAAAATATTCTACAATTTCTTTAAAATGTTTTTGAATTGGAGGGAACAAAATACTGAATAAACATTTCACATACTGTTCAATTATACTTCAAAGTCTGTTACAGTATCTCAACCTATGTAATGCCAAACCTACGGCTCATTTTGACACTGTGACCGACCATGTTCTTTTAAAACATATTACTCCAACATATCCAATTGATAGTTCAACTGAACTAAATAATCATGCACACAGCAATCATGATGCTTGCAAAAGTAAAAAAGAAAGTTGTCTTCTACATCTAAAACACTATTAAAGCCAAGAGCAAAACTTAAACAAATTCCCTGGATTTAAAAAGCAAATAAGTCATTGTTGACCATTGGAACACCATTAATTATTTGACACCAGGTGCCATTTTAATTCCACTTCTTGATTTTGTTCATCAATACTACACTAAAAAAATATGTTATTTTATGCCTGCTATCAAACGCATACCAAGCAGAATATCAGAATAACAGAGAGAGAGAGGGGGGGGGGGGGGGGGGGGGGGGGGGGGGATGGGGGGGGGGGGGGGGGGGAGGGGGAGGGAAGAAAAAGAGAAGAGAACTGAAAGAAATAGACAGGGATGAAAAAACAGGGTCAGAGTGAGACAGAGGGTAAGACATACAAGATAGGGACAACAGGAGGGGGGGGGGGTATATTTTCAGTCTCAAATAAAACTTTATAATCATTATAAAGAGTTGAATGAAAGAAAGTTGTGTGTTATCTTCATGCAGCATGCACTCAATGTTCAGGGTACCTAAGAGTTAGCACAAATAAGCAAACATGCAAATCTTTGACTAATTTACAAATCTGTACCATTACATGGCCCTAAAAATAAATAAACAAATTTCATTCAAACAGTTTTAAACCAGGCTTTTCAAATCATAAACAAAATCTAGTTGCATGCAAAATAATTCTAATGTAGAGATGCACCAATTTCGCCCAATCACAAGTTGCACTAGCAAGCAATGCTACTGGTATATCTAGAGAAGTTATTCAGCAGAAAGTAAAGCAAAAACAAACAAGAAAGACCCGACTTGTGTTTCATATTTGCAGAATGTATTCTAGATTAGCTTTTTTTTAAAGAATTTGAAGTGTTCATAATTGATATCAAGAGGTTATTTAAATGCATTATACACTTCATGCATTGTGCCGGTTGTGTTAATAATTAAGAAGGTAAATCTGTACTAAATATCTATTACATAAATACACCATTTGTCATGTAATTGCTTTTGTATCTAGTTTCAATAGCAATATACATTCATACAGAACAGAATCATTATTGATGTCATTTGTACTTCATGCAATAACCTGTATTAATACAGATATCTAGCAACTTACAGGTTCAATGTATTAGTTGCATTCTCACAAACACATGACCTCCCATGGTTTATGTTTTTTAAACAAGCACTGTAAAGATTTGATGGCGATTATAATAAATGTTTAGATGGCAAAAAGTCATCTTATTCTACCCTTTTCTTTGGTTATGAATTATTCCACTCTGAAAGGAAACAGTTGGTAACATTTTTGAACTTTGCTTTTGTTGCCATGCATACGAATTAGAGTCTGTACTACAGAGTACAGACTATTGCATAGCAAGCAATGGACAGATTTAGAACCTCATTCTAGCCTCTCGCCCACCCCCCCCCCCCCCCCCCCCCCCAAAAAAAAAAAAAATTAAAAAAATTATAAAAAAAATCCCATACACAAAGTAATCTGAAAGTGTGTTTCAAAGCTCTGATTTTGATCAGTGTTTCACAATCCTGATTTGATCTTCACAATTACGTACAACAGCACCCACAGAGAGGATCAAATCTAATTTAGTCATGCAACATGCAGGAAGGGATGCAAGCAAGGGTGGGAGAAACAAACAGACCTAGGATTGTTACTTGTTCCTTATCAGGTGTGCCTGTGCAGGGTTTGTGTGTGCCGAGGGTACACAAAATAAATAAAGAAAACACAATTATTGAAATCAAACAGGTGAGGAAGGGGTGGTTCACATTCATGCACTTTGTGCACCTGTTATGAAGATATTAAAGTGTGTGAACAGGGATGTGGAAATAGATCAATGGAATTGAGTATATACTGATAAAGGTTCCAGGGCAAGTCCAAAATCATGTCCCATATGTAACAAATCCAGAAAAAATATCTTAGTATATATATATATATACATATATATATATATATATATATGATAAGTTTATTATAAAGCTGCTAGCAATTTTTTAGATGGGGGCAGCTAGTGTCTCAAGATCAAGATATATATATATATTTTTGTATAATACAACCAAACTTGGTTAGATATGGAACATGATGAACATCCATGTTGGACTTTCCCGGTTACAGAATCTCCCATGCATAGTTTTAAAGATGGAATTTGATTTTGATTTTAATTTAGAATGCATTCCCGAGAAGAATAGGCTAGATCAAAGCTAGAGGATCATTCAATTGTCATTAATTCAAAATAATTTTTGAGGTAAGAATTGTCAAAACAACAAGAATTTAAAAACAAAAGAAATTTTAGAATTTGAAGAAAAAAAGCACTGAGTGCAAAATTAAAGACAGGATAGAAAGTACAATCCAGCAATTTATTCTTTTTATAGCCGATCTCAAATATAAAGGAAAAACATAGTACGCAAGAGAATTGATTTGCTTTTTTAAAAAATGAGAATACTTTTGAAGTGCTGAAATTGGCTCAAACCAAATGCTGATTCCAAGTGAAGATACTTAATTTTCTTGCGAGTTGGAGACGATTTGTCAGGGAACTGGGTCTCCTTGTTCTCAAACTGGGCTGAGGAAGCTAACAAGCGGACCATTTCGATCTTGAATAGAACCGACCTCTTTGTTTCCCACACTTGGAAAAAAAACGCATGAATTGCTTCACTTTTAAAATCTCCAGCAATAATGTGAAATCAGTGTTACTAGTAGTAGTTACAGTCACTAGATTCCAACACAAATTTCTTTCATAATTCTTTAATATATTCCTGATCTCTTTTGACAATACAACATACAACCCAAGTGTTATGGTTGTAGATCAGAATGGTTCTCAGCGAAAACACAATTAATGGTCCATATTCTCAAAAGCTCATGAACTTAAAAGGACTTGGTAACATTGTTCAGATGAGAGATAGTGGTGCAAAGGTAGTGACTTCAATGCTAGATGTACAATTAAAGATAATCCAAAAATTTGAGTGAAAACAGACTATTATTCATGGTACAAATTGGGAAAAACTGATCCGATTGATTCCTGAATTCTCCTAACTACATTATTACAATTTAATTACATTTTAGGTGAATGGAAATCTCACAAAGCAATAAAATGGCTCTACATGTACATTCCATTCCAGACATTGAAGTGTTGACAGATTTTTTTATAGCCTGTTTTATGTCTTTTTTCATGGTAAAACAGTTGGGAAAATTAAAAATGGTTGGGAGAATTTACTGTTAATCACTTTTAGAGGGTGTCGAACATCGACGCCTTCAAAGAAAACCAGATATCTTCGTGGTTTGAGAATTTTTTAAGGATTTTTTTCATGTCAGAGGGTTAGTACAGTAGATGGAATATAGTAAGTAACATTTTGTACAAAATTTAAGCAATTTTTTCATCAACAATGTTACAAGTCACTTTAAACTACCGGTAGGTAAAATTCAGTCCACTAATATGGAGTACCCAGTGCCAATGTCTCTAATTTATATGACCTACTTTAATTTTGTTACAACACCACTTTACTCATCAAATTAAACAGGAGAAAAACAAGTTAATGGTTAAGTGATTTGTGATAAACCATTTAGTTGTAACAGAAAACAATTAGTATTGTAAGGCTGACACATTGGAGACAAACTGGATTCAATTGAGCTTATAATTTAGTTCACTTTCAAAAAACATAAAAGCCAGTATCACCAAATCATAGACCCTGACCAACACTGCAGTTTTGTGAAACCTTTTTATGTGCTTTGTTATGCACTCAAACTTAAATCTGACATAAAATACACACACACACACACACACACACACACAAATGATGTACTTGTAGATCAATAAAACAATAGAACATACATTTCACCCTTGCTAAATGATTTTCCTTACTTCCCATATCACACTTCAACAATAGAGCTAATTTCCTACTTTGAAAAAAAAATGAATTAGAAAAATCTTTCAAATTTTGATCTAGTACTCGGTCTTAAACAAAGGAAGTATATGTACTGTACATGCTTTGGCGTAATTCTATTGTAGCTTTCTGTGTATGAAGGTTTACCAGGTAGCAATTGATTAATGTGTTGTGTGACCTTGTGTGAACATAAATGTATCTCCATCAGTGACAAATGTGACCAAACAATTTAGGAGGGGGGGGGGGGGCTGCAAGTGAGGCAGGATTGGGTGGGTGGGGGTATGATGGGGAATTCTTGCATATATACATTTTAAATAGTGGTGAGAAGGTTTTGGGTTCATAGTTGATTAATAGATTAACCTTTTAATAGATTCCTGTATACCCCATACTTCACACAACTTTGTGATTAGTGCTGTTATGAATTGGGATGGGGAGGTCGTATTTGCACGTTCATTAGTTCATTAGAGTCAATGATCATGATATTGAGAATTAGAAAGGCGTTAAGCTTTGATACTCATTGCTCTAAGGCAGTTGACCTACCGGCCCTTCGTACAAAATGCCAAATCTGATTCTGCATAAAACAGATTAGAATTTTCATACAATTGTTTTCAATGCACAGTATGTCTATGTACATCCAAATATGGCAAGTATGGTACATAGATTGAAACAATCTTTTGTAAATCTCACTTTAAAAACAGGATTTCGATTTTGAACTTCTTTTTTTTTCTTCCTCTTATTTGGATATGGAGGCAAGTAGATTTTAGGATTTACTTCCCAATTGTGGGATTTTCAGTGCTTTCAAGAGTTGCCCATACCAGGCCGATGAAAACCTTTAAAGCCTTTCTTATTGTCAATCAATGATTCAGTATGTGCAGACCATTACACAATACGGGATACCATCAACTTACAAGTCATTTCTCCTGGGAGAGGGATGAAGCAAGAAGAACAAAAAACAGTTTTATTTAACAGTTCTGAAATAATCTGAGCAAGTAAATAACGTTCACTCAACAATGGTGGATGTATGAAATCAAAACACAGCAAGTTTTACTTGTTTAAAGCAAATTGAGCAAAATATATATCGGCAACAACAAATGTGTGTGTCAACTCAATATACACTGAATTTGTGGGTAATGGTATTTGGTTTATAATTTGTTTTTTAGCAAAAGATAGCCTGAAAAGGATGGATGCAGCAAAGCTCAAAATAAAAAATCTACAACATCGGCCATGAACCTCCACCAGCTTTTACTAATTTTCTTCAAATTCATTCCCAGCAACAAATAAATGTGAAAAAACTTTCAAAACAAAATTAAAGCTTAAAATCACACCATTGGTTTTTAGTTCATTTGTATACAACCCTGTTAGTTTCAAAATGTACTTCACAATATTTATAAGCATATATATATAATTTCTTTTCTTTTCTTTCAACTGTTTAGATTAGCAGAACAGTTGAATAGGTACTTACGTTTATCTTTGTCTTTATCATCCTTTTTGTCCTTCTTGTCTTTCTTTCCTTCCTTGACCTCTTCTTTGTGTCCCACTCTCGAGTCCTTGTCTCCTTTTTCAGCTACAATAAAACATTTTCACAGGAAATCACAAAATTACAAAAAATTGAAACATTTATAGTAAAATAAAAGTTTAATGTTTTTTTTTCACAATCAAATATGGTGCCTTGCGAATTTCAATTGGGGTAGAGTTTGCATAGATAGTTTTTGTGTTGTGAAGCATAGAGGTATTGGACCATGTGGAACAGAGATTTACTATTTTTGGAGGTGGAACATTTAAATTTTAAAAATCTGATTTGCATATCAATATCAATATATTTATTCTAAAATGGGTATTTCTAGACTAGACTTACATGAAATGCTGCAAGTGTTTATTTGCAATTATGCCATATATGTGTAGCATGTTTCAGATACTTACATGCATGTCCACATCAATCATTCTTGAACAAGCTCTGCTTGCATAGTAAGTATAATTTGGTAGAGATTATATTTATTTCAAGGTCGGCGGTTCGAGTCCCGCCGCCGCACTAATGTCCTTTGGCAAGACATAGATCTACATTTTGCCACACTCCACCCAGGTGAAGTAAAGGGGTACCTGGTAGGAATTTATTCCTTGAAATGCTAGAGCGCCTTATGGCAGCCATGCTAAAGCCAGGGTAATAATCAGGAGCGCCAGGAGGGTCAAATTTGACTGACATGAGCGCTATACAAGAACCCACTATTATTATTATTATTATACCAAATCATTTAAATGAAACCAAAGTAATTATACACATAATCATTGAAATCAACATAACAATTACACACTAAGTTATATAACTCCACCTACATCTTCCATCTGCTCCTTTGCCTCCTTTGCCGTCCTTATTGGACTCCCTGGTTACCACTGACATCTCGTCTCCCATCTTCTCCTTCTTAGGAGCCTCTTCAGGAGGCAGCTCCTCTGACGGGGGAGGATCCAGGTCAGGGAGCTTGAACTCTGGCAGGAGCTTCCTCATCAGCTCCCATACCTTGTCCAAATGACCGTACCTAAGGGGTAGGGTGAAGGATAAATCAATTAGTTACAAACAGAGTAAAAAAACATTTCTGTTCGCGGGAGCTCTTTAGGACTTGTTGTATTTAGTGTTAATTTCTCATAGTGATATAGAGCTTTGTCAAATTTACTACAAATCTTTTGGAGATTTCAAGGGATAAATTGCTAACCCCTCCATCTAATGTTCTTGGTGATTAGAAAGATTTGACAATAGATGAATCTGAATATTGACTTCACAGCAAATAATACAAACTATATAAACTATCAGCCTTGACATTCGATAGATTTGCAACTGGTTTACATCTTCATCAACATAATGACGATTTTAACTTTTTTAGGGCATTTTTAGAATTGTCATGCAATAATTTACACCCTTTAATCATATCTCGTTATCAATAAACTTGTGTTAGTAAATCTAAAATTGATAAAAATGTCATAAATAATTAGTAATAACACCAGTGAAGAATTAATGTTTACATTTTCCATGAAGACACCAGATGAAAAAGACATTTGTTCTCCTTAAAAGAAGATTTCTCAAAGTTTTCTCCAAAGAATAAGTTTTGAGCAAATGACAGGAGGGCTATCACCATAAAACCTCAAACATCCAGAATAACAAGGAACCAATATAACCATTGCTGGATGGACTAAAAAATGCAGTCTAAAAAAATAAACAATAACATTAATTTTTTTTAATGGAATAAGTACAACAATTCAATAAATGCAACAATAATAACAAACAAAATGCAAATGACAAAACAAATATCTCTGAATCAACAAAAAACATTACAAGAAAATATACTTGTCTTTGGAGAAAGACGCATATCTGCAGGTTAGGAGGAAAACACAAAGTTGACATCTTTAAAATACAAATTAACACAAAAGTGCTGGTAAATTAGTTTAATAACGAATCAAACAATAAATGTTCAAAGCTTTGATTTTGAGTACCAATCAAAATTCAGTAACAAAAGATTCTACCAAATTTGGTAACAATAAAAGCTAACAGAACACCTGTAAACTACAGCCTACTCAAATATGTCAATCCCTGTATCATCATCTTCATTTTTCTTGCTCTTGGATGAATAACTGTCCCTGATCCCTTTTAACTCTTCCTCTTCCTCCTTCTCTTCCTCATTTTCTTCTTCTTCTTGGATGATGAAGTTCTGTATTTCCAGACCAGATCCTGGGCTGTACATCATTCTTTCTAGATCTAATTCTAGTTCATGCATTTCCTCTTCCTGCAGAGCCTGCATTTTCATTCCGATGGCACATGCCAAAAAGTGGCTGAGACAAACATGAGTAAATGGGTTAAAGTTAAAGCCCCTCTGCACTAGTTTGGCCAGGAGGGATTATACCTCCCTGTATGGCCACTGACAGGTGGTTATCTCATCAAATAAGCTCTCAATTAACATAAGAAAAAGAGGATAATGGGGGGCCAATGGTCACTGATGATCAAGTGATGCAAGTAGCTATAAGCAGTGCAGTGGGGCTTTAAGTTGGATAACCTGAGCATTTTTTGACCAGAATTCCCATCAGCTATTTAATAGAATGGTTCCACATGAAGAATGTACGCATAGAGAAAGTGATTTCACAAATGCGTTTAATTGTTAGAGTACATAATTTCATGTAATTTGCCAAAAGTTTACATTCAATGCATTTTCACTTAATACCTTGACCTCTTTGACTAGGTAATTATCAGGAAAATTTGATATATTCCTTCCATGTATCTACATGTAGGTGTATACTCTCACAATGGTTTCACATCAGTTTGAATAATACTGTTTACTAATAAATGCAATTCAATTTACTTTTCTTATTCTTCTTAAATCAGATACGTTTCTCAGTCATATGTGAAGTTTATCCGAGAAAGAAAAGGTATGAGGAAGTGATGGGGGAAACACATTATGTTCATGCGTCTTGGAGCTCCCAATCTGGTTCTATTCATAATCACAGCAAACAGGACATGCATTTTACTTACTGTAGAGGGATAGTCTCTGGCAACCATCCTGTCAATGTCTGGATGACGGTCACATCACCAAACTCACAGCTACTACTTCCAGTTGAGTAACTACACAAAAGAAAACAATTGGGAAGTTATTAATTTCACTGTAGGGGAGAGATTCAATTCGTAATATCTAACTTAAAATTGTCACATGCAAACATCTTTCATTCTTTGTTTTACTGAAGTACATTTTAAGGAAATCTTGAGCTGCATCAATTACAAGAAGTAGAATTTTCATAATCTGATAACATTTGCATCAAATGATACAAAGAACAAATATATGATTCCTACTGTATGACTTCAAAAAACATTAATGATAACCAAGCTTACGAAGGATGTGGCAATCTTTAAAGTATGTCAGGTCAACCCAGGAAAGAGGCTATCATATTCTTGCACAAGTATCTAATTATTTTCTGTGATTTTCAGCAATTTATCATTAGTTTTGTTTCATGTATATTACGGGTCTAAAACCTATTTAAATGTATATAAGCTGCAAGATCAACAATTGGCGTTGTGGCGTGCACCTGTAATCCAGCTAACAATGGAAGTTACAAACTGATTCAGCCGAGGACTGAATCCTGTCTTTTGGATGGTGACGTCTCCAGACGTAAATAATCATATCTGATTTTATATTTTTTATATTTTTTCATTTTACACATGGGTTCTTTCAATTGGGTGGTAACATGAACGTTCCTATAAGAACCACCAAATGAAAATCAATAATGATGACTTACTCTAATGAGAAGACTTTGATGAGAGCCTTGGTGAGGAGCATAGGCCAGAGTTCATGGGTCAACCTGGAGCTAGGTAGAAGCATCTTGCCGTTGTCATCAAAAGGGATTGTGTCATCTACGGTCACTTTCCTCCAGGTGCCCTGTTCAAGGCAAAAATAGGATCATTTAATACAGAAATGGTTGATACTGCATAAGCGAAGGATAGTGTTGAACAAAAAGGTTGTAATCTTCACTCATCTGAGATATGTCCAAAAGTGAGCTCCAACTAAAACAGGTTTGAAATATCCTGTATCATATGAAGTAAAATGTATTATTTCAATTTTTAAAACTATGTAAAGTCTATTCGGCAATATTTCTAGAGCAATGGAATTTGCAGGTAAAATGGACGTAAAAAATCAGATAGGCAAACAAATCTATGAACATACTGGATGATAAATCATTTCTTAAATCTTTTCCATGATAAACAAATAACATTTTCACCAAACTTACCATCCAATAGACCCTGATGATATATTTTCCATGGGGGTTGTAGAGGGGTAGATGGGGAGCCTTTCCTACTTTACAGAGGGCGTAGATGTGGTCCCAAGGCCTCCAGGGGTGCATCTTGCCCCCTGCTATGGTAGCCCCCTCATGGGGTTCGGTGATGGGTGTGGCTGTGGAGTGCCACAGGTTGGTGATCTGGCTGGTGATCCAACGAAGCGTCTGCAGAGGAAAGCAAATGATTCCTACGTTAACCCATTGCCTGCTTGAGCTGGGTGCCCCCTGTATTAGGCCTATGGCAATTAATTAATTCAGTATTCAATGTGTTAAAATGATGGAAAACCTAAGACCTTAATGATATGAAGGCTCAACAGCTGATTGGTTGGAGCACTGCTTATAGGAACTGAGAGTGCTGCATTTAAAATCAAATGAATATGTTAGTCTTTAAGGATAGACACCAATCCTAGGTAACCTATAATGGGTCCTTCCACCATGACTTTGAAAGTATCATCCTCTTCTTCACTTAGCAATAATAACTCTGTGATTATAAAATGAACTTGAAATCATGAGAACTGAATTTCTCATTTTCATTTATGACTAAAATTCATGTCATTTCTCTATTTAATTACAAAATCGAAAAAAGTTGATAAAAAAGACAATTGACACTCAGTGCTCCCTAGATCTCTTGAGAACCGGTTTTATTGAGTCCGCCTCAAAGAATACAGGTCTTTAGATGGCTTCAATGAAAGGCATGCTTTTGAAAAGAGACACTGATTTTCTTACCTCGCATTCATCTAGGTGTTCATTGTTGGTGAGGAGGTCGATGTCCTTGGTGCTGTCGGGATCATAGACCACCGGTGTCTTGTCTGTGATGAAGTCCTGTGGCCTCCTCCAATGGTCTACACGATGTCTGAGACTGGTAGGCAGCTCAATTCTTCCCTCGGGATCATCAAAGAAATGTTGCTGTTTTTCAATCAAGAAGAAAAAAAGAAGCATGAAATATCGGAAATCATCAAGAAACAAACTCCACTGTTAGTGATATGGGGGACAAGCCACTTTGCCAGTAAGTTTATTGTTATAGCAGTTAAAAAGGGTCTGAGCTTGCAGATATACATCTTAGCGTTATCAATTTGAGATATAATTTTTTTCTCCAATTGTAACACATTTCTAAATGTCTGTGTTGCGAAAAATGTAAAATACAGTAAACTCTGTAAAAGATTACTCTAGGAAAATTAGAACAGTGGTCTTGTTGGCCTGGATTATTAGGAAACAGAGCTGTCACATAATCAATCATTTTTGCATCATTTCCCATTTGCCTGCTTATGTTGCTTGTCCTCAAACATACAGATAATAGACATAGAATCTCAATAAAATGTTCATATCTAAATAAAAATATATTTTAAGCAAACAGAAATGACGGAGTTAAAAAAAAAAAAAAAATCATAAATAGTTACCATGCTGCTGGGGCTCTTGCCCTTCTCCTTCTCCTTTGGTTTGTGTGGAGCATCCTGGAAAAAAAAGGAAAAAGATGTAAGAGGAAACATCAATCAAGCAGTATTCAACTTGATTTCCACATCATTACTAAAAAGAGTACGAATACATTTCAGGAAAATTAGCGATAGTACATTCCTCGTCATTAAAATTGTCCATTTCAAAAAAAAATAATACACATCTGTATACTACTGCATCTATCCTATAAGAACAATATCAGATCGTCATTTGGCTGAAAAATTTCTATATTAATTTTGGTTCCCCATCAGAATATTTTGGTGTACCTTCTGTTTAGCTTAAAAGATAAAGCTGTGTTTACTTATTAAAATGCTGTAAACCACCTCAATTCTAGTAACTGCTGCAGCAAAATAAATGCAGTGTATCTAAAATTTCTGTACATCTATAACACATACATTGACTTAGGTTGCATGCTTTGGGGCAAATGTTAGGAGAAGATACTCATTCCCCTTTAACCCCACTTTAAAAGTAATAGATAAAAACTGCTGCAGTTTACAGTATTCCGTTTGAAAAAGGCTTTACAAGTGGGCTCTTACCCATTTTTCTCCATTGACATCAGCATCACTCCATTCAGGCCAGATGACAACCTTCTGTTTCCTGCCTTCTTGAGATCCAATCACACTAGCGGCTATGGATGCAGCTCTGGGTAGAAAAAGAAAAGAAACATATAAGATGATATATTCCTTTGGTAAAGGGCATTCAATTTGTAGGAAGAATTGATGGGTAATTCAGTTTTTACTGATATCAAAAGTCAAAACCTTCAGGAGATCCATTCACAGTACAGCTATGGATGGAGCTCTAATCAATCAAAACAAGTAAACATACAAAATGAGAATTTAATTTGTTAATTAGGAAGCTGCTCCATTGCATAGATTTATGGGGAAAACTTTTCATGTAAGTGACTCCCAGTGTTTAAGATTAGTTGACTTGTTTTTCGTTCATTCAGAATGATTTCTGGGGCCAGTGTTTTGAAACCGCCATAAAACCCAAGTTCTTGGACATTGCACCAAAAGACAGGTTATACAATTAATATGTTTCAATAGGATTTACACAAAACTAAGACTAATATGTGAGTTTCAAGAAACTGGCTCCCGAGTTTCAGAATTTAGGCAAATTTTTGTAGACTCACTTGCTTTTTACTGAACTATTTATAATGTTATGAGGGTTAAGTTAGCAAGCCATTACTTGTCATTGTGCTGATATCGCCCTTATTAGGCTTTGGGGTGGAGTTCAACTATTTACTCAATACATGTGCATTCATTATTGGTGCGGTAAACAACACCCCCCCCCCTTCCCACCTCAAAAACTAAAACACATTATATTTTTTGTGTGAATGGTTACTGCACGCAACAAAGAACTTGCGCTGAGATCTGGGTTAGAAGATACAGATATGCGAAAAATATTTCATCACAAAAAAAAACCTGCACTCTGCAGTTTCCCTGCATCACATTTGACCTCTTCACTACATACCGGATACAGGATATTTATAATTTAGACCGCGAATTTGTTTGAGTTGAGCTAGCTTTCTGATGACAAATTTTTAAGAGAAAACCCAAAGGCAGATGGCAGATCGAGAACCCAAACAAAAATGGCAAAATTACCCAGTTCAACTTTATTTAATTTTGTTATTGTTGACATCTCTTTTTGTCTTTGAATTTTAGGAGTATGGCACGCTTCTTTTTTCTCTATCACACACTCAACAAATAATTCAAGATTCAAGATTCATAAAATCATTATTCATCGTGGCTGCTCAACGCACGATTGATTGCTACCACATCATTCCCTCCCAGTCCCACACGTTCACAGGCAGATCGCACTACACATGCACAGCATGCAATGCAAAGCGGCACTCATTTTTCTGGAGCTTGTTTACATAGACAATGCACACAAAGTTTACAAACACTACCGATTCCATTTCAGACATCGTCTCGATCGCGACGTATTTTACATGCACTTACTCTTGTTTAGAAGCTGAATTTACTCGGTTAGAAGATTTCTTATCCTTCGCCGGTTTAGACGCCATCGTGCAAATTGCACGGTTTAGGCACCTTTGAGATTAAAAAATGTGATATTTCAAACTACTTGTTGGTGTCTCGTTGCCGAGAAGGTCGATACTTCGTTGACGGTTGTCAGGAACTATGGGGTCAATTTACGGGATCGGGAAGGGTTATTGAGCATGCGCAGACACAAGTGTTTTGTTTTTACGTTCTGCGGAAAGCGAAATGGGGGTGGGGTGGATGTGGGATTGGAGACAGGGCCTATTATTATTATTGTGATTACTTGCAGTTGAAACATTTCAGAATTCGACTGTAGATTTCTACGAAAAAAGTTTAGCGTATTAAAGTTACTATGTCACATTTGCAGGCTAAAAAAATGAAAAAGTTAAATTCCAACTGCATTTGAAAGATAATACTAATTTAGAACTTCCCTAAAAAAGGTGGGGCTTGAAAATGTCTTCAAGTGGGAAAATAACGACTATTAGTTGTCAAATCGACTTTAGGGCTATAGAGCCCAAAAGTAATAGTCTTGATTTTCAGACAATTGCACCGAATGGTCATACGTTTTATGCTGCGCAAAGATTCAATCAGTTTAATCTTGGCCATCACAAGAAGTGGGTTGTTGATGTAGACAAATGCTCATGTACCCTTTACAACTCTTTTCATGTATGTTATTACCAAAGGAAAAAAAAGCCAGTCAGTCACTCAATAGTGTCTGACAGTGAAGTCTAGCAAGTAAACGTGTTTTCTTGCATAATTTGAATATGAGGACACTGCTAACGTTTAAATTTCACAGATAGGACATACATGATATATTCATAATTCCTGCAAAGTTCTATAGCATTTGAGGTTGGCTGCAAAAGGGACATAGTACCTTTAAATCATAAGTGAAAATCAGGCTGTAAACTAAAGATCTAGTACAAAATAAACCAAGAATTGATTTCTGCCTGAAACTTGAAAGTATTTGGAAATATATTTATATATCTCACCCAAACTGGCACAAGCCTATTTTTTGTCAGGACGATGCCTAAACAAACGGACGTAATGTGGCATTCTGACATGGTACCATTCATCTTTGAAATAAAAAGTCTACAAATATTGACTAGTCAATATATACAGGGATTATCATGAAAGAGATAAAGTGAAAATTCAATTCAACATCATGATTAAAGTTTATATTAAAAGATAAGTACAATTCGTTGGTGATACTAGTCGAAATTCAGCATTTTTCATAACGTTAACTAAAAAAACTATAACAAGCTACCGGGGTCTTTAACTCCCAGCTCACTTTAAGAGCAAAGGCGTGCAGATAGAAGGCTTCGCTTTTATTATAATTCGGTTGCATTATGAAGTCGACATGATTATGGGAAATAGATGAAAATACTGTACCTTTATCTATTTATTTATTCCCTTATTTTTGATATCTTAAAACATTCAGTTTGACAGAAATCGAAGAGTAAATTGAGTTTAATCTACATTTAATTTTATACTCAAAAAAGCAATTTGCATAAAATGGTTCTTTAATTGCTTCAAGATTGAACATAATGTATGTGTGTTTGGTCGCTCATTACGACACGATGAAAAACGAGAAAAGCGAAAGAACAATAAAAGGCATTCAAGAAGACATCTCCCCCATCCCCCCCACACAACATGTGGTAAATTTAAAACAGAATTAATTCTGTTTTTGTATAAATAAAAAGGTCATAAGCATAAACCCATCAAAAGAAGAAGAAGAAGAAGAAGAAACAAAAACTACACTGTTGGTCATAATGGTGGAATAATTATTTTTACCCCAATTTCTTGAATGATTTTGACAATGATTTATTCCTAATAGATTTAGATAATAGTATACATTCTCAGATTCTAGGGGACATACGTCCTTAAGTCATAACTGACAGTAATGGGGATTAATGCCTCATAAAAGGGCACTAATATAGCACATCGACACAGTGGGGGCTCACAGTAACGAGGCCATTGCTTAGCCAATGAACCAAGACAGTACGCAGCGGGTGCTAGGGTACGTCGACACCCCCACAAAAACAAACAAAAACAATGCCGAAAATGCAATAAATTTTCAATAATTCATTGCATTTTCCTCCAGTCCCCGACAGGAAAAATTCCTCTGTAGGGCCATGCATTATGGTTCAAGGCATGCCCACGTAGAAAATTGTTTATGTTGGGGTCGGGGCAAAATGCAATGAATTATTGAAAAATTATTGCATTTTCTTTGTTTTTTTGTAGTGTGGGGGCGTCGACGTACCCTAGCGGCCGCTGCGTACAGTCATGATTCATTGGCTAAGCAATGGCCTCGTGACTGTGAGCCCCCAGGATCAAAGCCGTGTCGATGTGCTATATTAGTGCCCTTTTATGAGGTATTAATCCCCATTACTCTCAGTTATGACTTAAGGACGTAGGTCCCCTAGTTAATTATTATTATTATTATTGTAGCACACACATGCTTCAGCAGACACGCAAAACAAACACTCCCTAAATGTCGTTCAATAAAATCTGAGAATGTATACTATTATTTAGATCTATTAGGAATAAATCTTTGTCAAAATCATTCAATAAATTGGGGTAAAAATAATTATTCCACCATTATGACCAACAGTGTACTTGCTGTTAATATATTCCGCTATACCCTCCAACTCTACTAAATTTATTCTACAGTATCCTGACCCTGACACCAATATTTTTTCCCTTTAAGTCCCTTTTGCACCACACGAATATATGTCTTAGTCAGCCCCCCCCCCCCCCCCCCAAAGAAGAAAAAAAATCATTTAGGAATACTAACAAGACTGATAGTGATACATGTGCACATAACACGTACCATTCACAGCCCATTGGTGTCTCTATCATTCAAGATGCTATTGTGTATGTGCAGGAGCGCAGGGAAGGCAATCGATCCCGAGGATGGGGCGGCCCGGGGTGGCGACAATTCAAAACTGAAATGCCTCTCCCTTAACACGTATGGGGAATAATCATTTAAGGCTACACCACAACATTTTTAGGCTCCGATCAGTGCTAGAATGCAAAATTTCACGAATCAAAAGGGAGCATCCACTAACTCGGTCGATACGCTCGCTCGCATAATACACTATTTCTTGTGTATTTCAAAATGTTGTAGAAGCGTAACAAGCAGATATTCCATTGCATGTTTATATACAAGAACTGTAAATTGTGAGGCGCAATAACGTTTACTGTACTTCGAAGTGCAGATTCGGCAATTTAAGGGATATAAGGCTAATTAAAATGAGCAACATTTTGAGAATCTGAATACAAGTAATAATATTGTCCCGTTAAAAATGTTGCCTTTCTGTCGGCATTATACCATTAGCAAACTTAGTACAACACCACCCCCACAATTCAAATACCCTTGTGACGCCCCTAGTTACTATATCATCCCTGAGAAACTTACGCATCAATAACGAAAGCATCTCTTTCACCCTGGGTAGCGAACCTCCGAAAGTCCATTGCACCCATGGTCAACCCACCACCAGCAGCTATAGTTCCTCTTCGAGCAGCATCAAACGACTGCGGAGCGAGCCCGGGAGCGAGCGAGGTCTTTCGACTACCGGCACGACTACTCGACGCGATCGTCATCCTCCTTTCGGCTGAGCCACGTTTATTCTTGATCGAGGCCCCGAGTTCATCGTCATCCTCGTCAAAGAAGATGATGGGCCGTGCCATAAATTTATCGGTGTAGCGCGTGGTCCGGTCGTAGATCTCGTCTAGCGACAACGGCAGGTCGGGGTAGGTGACATGACGTCGGTATGTTCCACCGGCGCTGTGGTGAATGATTTGGGGGTCGATGACGGTGGTTTCGCGAGCCGCGTTGCTTGGGTTCGCTCGTGAACCGTTCGGGTTCGGCGACCGCGGAGCGTTTCTTTTATCTTTTCTCGTCGACATTTTCGCTTTAGGATAAGAGACGATTAGACTTCTATATATCCGAACTATATGAAACCCTTAGGCCCAATACTGTGACGACGATGTAAGAGTTTTTCGCGTCTAGACGATATGGACGTAGGCCAGACGGACGAATTCAAGACGTCTAAGATGTCATCATTAAACATTTACTTTCTTTCCAGTTAAAAAATTATCTCAAGTATAGTATATCCATGTCAGACAATTTTTAAATTATGGACATTCTGCAGGTTGACTAATATTCTGAAACCTTTGGCTGCAAATCAACTGTATAGGTCTTATTCAGGTGACTCTGGAGCAGAACACCGGTACGACCTCGCATGCCATCTGTGTCTTCCTTGTTTGCAAGTCAATAAAAGATTATCAAGTACCTCTGTCAACAAACATACTTCTAAAATGCAATAATCAAAATAAAGGATGCCTGTTTTATTTAGGTAAACATTTTATTGATCCATGGTCCTATCGAAACACGATGATGGTCCTGAATAATCGATGTCAAAACAGTCTTTAGTTGAAGGTAACACACGCAACTTGGTACTGTCGAATGGCCCCATGAGATCCAGCCATTTGAGGGCATTCAAAATAAGTCACAAAAAAGAACATTTCTTCAGTTTTGTTCATTCAAGAGCAATAGGTTTGACCGTCTAGCTTGGTAGGTATACGAACTTCTAAATACGTCCTTGATTTTACAGTTTTCAGGAATATCTTCATCCTTTTATAGTCGATGGTAGTCAAAATGGAATGATCCCTGCTCGGCAGAAAAAAGAGCTACCAAAGTGATTTCCATCCAGAACAGCTAAACGGTGAGATGTCAAGTAACTGTGAGTTGTCAATTTATCTTGATAAATCTACAAGCACCACGACAACAGTGATCACTTCGTCTTGAAATCGCGATTATCAATATCTAGAGTTTCACTGCCGATTCCTGGCCCATTTAGAATTCCAAGAAAATAAGCTATAATTTGCCGGGTGGAGGTTGCATTTTCTTTTCTCTGTCTGTATAGGGGGAGGGTTATTACACGGGTTATTACATAACGATGTTTTGAAGTTGGATATATACCAGTTGGTTCGGACCACTGCTTGTAAAATGCATCAATGGACAGCTTTATTTATAAACAATAGGGTCTAGGGAGATACACAAAAAAGACTGTGTCATGATCATTGAAGCAGGGGACATGAACCAATTTGCGGCCCAATTTATTACCAAGTCCTCGAGATGCGGCGGTGTCTCCAAAACGACTTTCTGCGACGATTCACTCTGCTTCCTTCCTTTTCGACAACATGTTGATGTATAATGTTCAAAGACGAAAAGAAAAATAACCTAGTTTCTATTTCACTAAATTGTGAAAATGAGCAATATATTAGGGATGACGAGTTTAGAAATGGAGGTACATGCTGGAGTGGACGAAGTACCAAAATAAGTAGGATCAAGGCAAAGGCGTCATATCGTTCTAAAGAGAGAGATAAGGTGATGGTATTCCAGCAACCAAATATCATCAGATTTACTAATGAAAAATCTCTGGTGGACCCGGAAGTCTTTTTTGTTGTGAATTTGAAAATTCATTCCTATTATCGTTCCATCGGTGATAATGTTATCCTTGTCGACTGTACATGCTATGGTGCTATAATTTTGTTAAATTATAAGATGGCAAAGAGGTGACAAATATACGTTTTGGCGATTGTATACATTTCCAGTAATGTATTATCATCATAGCTCTTGAGATAACTGCGAAGACGCAAGACGCAATTAAAACTTCCAGTTTCAACAGATTTGGAAAAGAACAAAGTGCAGTTTGGTCAGCTATTGGCGTTCATCATGATTCCACAATAAAGCGAAGTTTCAGCGACTCCTATGGTCTATGTGCTGTGTAGAAACAGTTTAATCCAGATTCTCATTCAGATTGAATAGGAATTGAGCATTTCGTCGAGTAAAAACTAGTTAAGTATAATTATATGCGAACTAATCCTCGTGACAAAGTCATCTCCTTTCTCGTCACGTCGAATTCAGTACAGTTGATTCGATCCTCGCTATATGTCATCATGACTGATATAGGATCGTCAATCCCGATTGATTACCTGCCCAATGACAAAAACATCATCGATCGGACAACGAGTCCGGCACCTCCTTTTAAAACGGAACAATTATCCACGAATGACTCCTATACTCCCGTTTACAGTCATTCAATAACCGATATAATTGTTTAACAGTATTCAGAAGCACTAAGGCCTGCATAGAGTCAAAATGCAACGCGAAATGGTATTCCGTTATAAATTTCCAAAAATGTATGATGGGAGTAACATGAATCTGTCGTTGACCTTGGCCCGCCCTAATTGGTAATAAAGTCTGGACTTTGGTTAAATCAGTCGTGGCGACATGTATTCATGTTTCCTTCGCTGTCTTCAGCATGGGTAATGCATGGCTCCTCATCAAAATATAAGTTTTTTATTCTTGTAAACAAATTGTAAACTTTTGTTTTGATCGTCCCTCTTGAAGTTGCAAGACGTACTGATGTTTTTGAGCCTTGGAAGAGTGTTGTCTCCGATGAATACGAACCTGTGAATCATTAATTTCGACCGAATCACATTAACATAAAACAACAAAAACCATTTGTATAGAATGATGTGCACCAACAGACTGATGACTGAAGATCCATCACATTTACAAGTTTCTGATCGTGTATAGATCCCTCGTATCACCGAACAGCTCGTGGAATCCTGCGAAGCAACGTCCACAATGGTAACACTTCTTAAACTGAAAGGCGTTTTATATAATACGGCATACAGATAAAATTGAGATGATATATAAAAAAAGATCTAGATGTTCAAGTAAACTGAAGAACTCTTGGGATTCCAACGACAGCCTCCATGTTTGATTTGAGCACCATCTCCAGGTGACAACCGTTCTGGCTCACCAAAAGAATTCGCATCTCACAAAAGAAATTTCAACACACTTGAACCTTGACAAACTCCCACAAGAGCAGTGGTATGTACGTCTTTCTTTAAGCGCTTGGAAATACATTTTGACAGTGAAAATTCACCCCTTTCTATAATTCGCCTTTTAAATACTAGATTTGCCCAATTTTGAAACAGCATATAGGCGCCAGTTCCAAACAACTTACAGGAATAAGCTATTTTGTTATTGTATATATTGTCACGAGTGGGAAAGAGAAGTATAGGGAGCATAGAATAAGGATAAAACCAGGGTTAAATGGTCTCTATCTTAATTCCCCTAACTCCAATCATTTATTCTGAAATGTGAGGACATTTCGAACGGAGAAACATTACTACGACTTCGTAAACGCTTGACGGATTATTAACAAAAAGTCGGAGTGGCCAGAATAAAAGCCGTCTTATAAGCAAGCAGGGCTTATATGCTACTTATCATTAAACTTTACAATCAGAGGCAGACCAGGACTAGATTGTGGCCCGGTCCGAGGAACAAGACCGATAGCTCGATCACAGGATCCTTTTTTTGTAGCAAATGTTTCAGCATTTATTGAAAATTCAAATACAAAATATTTAAACAACATTAACAGTATAATGTATAATTGAGTTACATAAAAATGTGATTGCTGAACTACAACAGAATACATAAAATGATATTATTGAAAATTTGAAAGTTTGGAGGTAAAAAGAATCAAGATAAATGCAGAAGCCAACAAGCATAAGCATGAATGCTCATAAGCTTTTGGTTTCGTTTATTGTCCCCCAAGTCCCCCCCCCCCCCCTGTTAAAAGAACCTATCATGGGAAAAGGAAACAAGAAAATAAAAAAAAGGAAAATGTTTTTTTAAAGGAAGAAATTAAGGCTTTATTAATTTTCATACTTTTCCAACCCCTGTCACTTTCTTTGTATATTCTGTAATTATTTGTAAATGTGTATATCCCCGGCTTCGAAACATACTTGGGTTACAATTAAGCTGCTCTAAAAGAAAATAAAAAAATTCAAGGAGTTAGAATAAAATTTGAAAGTTATGTGAAAGTTATATTTTAATCACAAAGAACAGAGGACAATTTGTCAACTTTCAAGCTTTCAGGGAGACTATTGTAAAATGCTTTGTAATCTGTTGGTGCCCCCACCTCCGCACACATACAGAGAACACACATCTATACCCCACACATGTCTCATTATGCATCGACGCCAGTGATTTTTAGCCACGATGATCCCCTACAACAAGGTGTATTTAACTGCAGGGTACAATGTCCAAAACAGAATGTTTGCAAACATACAACTCCTTGGTGACAGAGCGACTATACCTCTTTTAAGACTATGTATACACACTTGTATGTCTTTGACTGGGTAGGGTCTGTCTTACAAGTGCGACTCAGAGAAAACCTGGAGGCTACGGTATGGACGAGAACAATAACACCACTTTAAGACACCTAATAGTATACACGTTTTTGACAAACGCGAAATTATTGCTGCTTGATGTCACCTTTTATGCCCCTCCCCCATCTTACCAACCGTCACCATGGAACTATACCTTACATTATCTCTATTTTGATCACCATTAAATTACCCTTTTCCCCTTCTTTTGATTCTTATCCTTCACTTATAATTGGACACTTACATGTTTATTGTATAATATGAGTACAGCTATTCAATCTTTTAAATGTTATTTTTTATTATTAACCTTATTACACTAAACTTCTAAAGCCATGACAGACTGTACAATTGGGATTTCAACAAAATGGTGCGTTGTTCCTTTTTACACACCTCTATACTCCAAAAGTAATTTGTCAGATTTCTTTGATATTTAGTCGATGATCCTCTACAAACTGTTTACCGAGTTTCGTTTTCATATAAAGATTTTAGTATAGTACGAAAGTGAGACAACATCCGCGCCTTATTGATATAAATTGCTTGTATTTTATTGTGATATTATACGAAGTAAATTTCAACCAGCTGATGGTTAAATAATAGTTTGTGTGTACCCCCCCCCCCCCCCACCAATAAATACACCCCACTGTCTTTATTTAAGAACATTGGGACAAAATAGGTGGAAATATTTATGAAAGTGCCATTCTTCATTTCTGGAAGCATTTCAATATTTAATACGAACAAAACATGTTGATAAGCTTATTGAGGTACAGTCATGAGCTATGAGAAGGAATGAAGAAAAGGAAAGTTTGCTCCTGCCGCCCCTATCCTAGATGATGGAGATTTTCATTTCAAAGTAAATTAGTTATTCTATTTTATTTGTAACAGATATTAGGATCTTGAAATTATGTAATTTTCAGAACTGATGATTCGTTTTCCTCCAATTATGATACCTCTTACAATTGATTTCCTCACTCACCGATTTCGCGTAAAACCGACGCTCTGGTTCCTAGGCATCCTGCTTCAACTCAAGAACTAAACGTATCCACAATCTTATCCCTATCGCTACATCGGTCAGTTAGTTAATCAAAACGTGTGAGGAAAGTAGAATCCGATGACATACAATCTTTCATCTTCTGTTTAAATGGTCATTTCATTTGAAGATGATATGGAAATACGAGTTGCACCAGGAGAGCAATCCCGTGTTGAAGTAATTTCAGTATCTTGAGCGCAGCCGAAACGTCCGCCAAACTGATGCACTGTATTATACTAAACCATGGACCCTACCATAAAACCAGCAAAGATCATGTCTCGCACGAACGCAGAAGTTGCCGCGATTGCTCAGAGAG